TTGGTTGAAGTTTTTGAAAGTGATGCAATGAAGAGGTTTGTTTTCTGAAAGGCTGTTGGGTAATTCCTATTGTGGCTTAATGGCTTTTCCCTGTGTTGGCTCTTGAGGGCTAATCCTATCCCTCTGCCTTTGTTCAGACTTTGCTGCAGGGAATTTCAAAATATCCTGTCTTGAATGGGTTTCTCCCTGCAGTATTTGCTTTGCCTATGAATAGAGCTATCTATCTCTTTATCTCTTAAGTGCTGACATCTGCTGTGGGCTATTAAGAAAAGGTGGGGACTGCTTTCTCCCACCAAGAGCATATCTGCCTTTTTAAATATTTTCCTAAAGTGGCTAAGACGCTGAGCTTGTCGATCGAAAAGTTGGCAGTTCAGCAGTTCGAATCCCTAGTGCCGCGTCACAGGGTGAGCTCCCGTTCCTTGTCCCAGCTTCTGCCAACCTAGCTGTTCGAAAGCACGTTTAAAAAAAACGCAAGTAGAAAAATAGGGACCATCTTTGATGGGAAGATAACAGCGTTCCGTGCGCCTTTGGCATTGAGTCATGCCGGCCACATGACCACGGAGACGTCAGATAGCGCTGGCTCTTCGGCTTTGAAACAGAGACGAGCACCGCCCCCTAGAGTCGGGAACGACTAGCACGCATGATGCGAGGGGAACCTTTACCTTAAAAATACTTCATTCTTCTAGGAGAGGAATGCTAACGTTCTACAGTACCAACCAAGCCTTCTGTTTTGCCAGTTGCATAAGATCTAATTTTGATTTCCTCCCCATCCCCCAGTGCCTTAGAGGGTGGAGAGGGAGTGAGAAGGAGAGCTGTCTTTCCCCTTTGGATCTCAACCAAGCCTCGCTTGGCCCAGGCTGTGCTTACCAGCTATAGTTGGAAAGATAAACATATACCCTGGTTAGAGCAGCCAAGAATTTGCCTTGAAACGTTGCTCCTTTGATCTACCTTGAGCTCAGATTAAGCTCTGTTGACGTTTACCGTTTCTCAGAGCGAAGGCCTCCTTTCCTGCCACAACCAGCGCTAAGTTGAATGGATTGCGCGGAAGAGAACCAGGGCGAAAAAAAAAAGCACTACATTTTAAGCAGACGAACTCCTCCAGCCGGTTGGAAAAAGTTTGTCGGAATTCACTGTGGTGGGCTTTAGGGATGAGCTGGGCAAGGCGGATTGGTTCAGCTTGGAGCTCAAGCCCTGTTTTCAACTTAAGATGGGAAGCGGGTGTTTCCCCTAAGGAACTGCAAAAAAAATGTTGCTGCTTTCGCTTCATCCCAAAGGAGCAGCTTTTTTAAAAAAAAAAACATATAAAATGTTGACTTTCCAGTTGCGGTTTTGAGATTATATCACAGCCTTTTGGAAATCACAAAGCGGGACGGTTCTTTGCCAGTGGGGAAATTCAATTTTTTTTTACTACCGGTTCTGTGGGCGTGGCTTGGTGGGCGTGGTGTGGCTTGGTGGGCGTGGCTTGGCATGGCAGGGGAAGGATACTGCAAAATCCCCATTCCCTCCCCACTCTGGGGCCAGCCAGAGGTGGCATTTGCCGGTTCTCCGAACTACTCAAAATTTCCGCTACCGGTTCGCCAGAACCTGTCAGAATCTGCTGGATTTCACCCCTGTTCTTTGCCCCACTGCCTCTTCAAGTGAATCTAGCAGGGCTCTGGGACTTAGAAGCAAACTTCCACCTTTTCCAACCTGCTTTTCAGATGCCTTATCTGGCATATGTTGTGGCTCCGTTACCGGAGCCTGTGTCATCGTCAGGAGAGGACTCCGAGAGTGAAGGGGAAGAGTTGGCAAGGCCTCCCTCTCCAGGACCCTCCTCTCTGGCAATGCCTTCGGTGTCCGGCGAAGGGCAAGAGATAGGGCCGGGGCCAAGCACATCCACGCAGCCACAGATGGACAGTGATGAGGGTAATGAGTCTTGGCTGGACCCACGCCAGCGTCGCAGAGATAAGCGCGCGCAACAGACGAAAGGGCATGCCCGAGATTAGGCTGAGTCACTGGACCACACCCCACAGGATATAAAAGGGAGCGTGGTGGCTAGTCAAACATTGTGACGAACAAAGCTGAAAGCTTCCACGCCATTCTGCATTGCCGGACTTTTGCTTTAAGACTTTGCTGGAGTATCTCTGGACTTGATTTAATTCCGTAATTATTGAGCTGCTTTCCTTTGATGTATCAGAAGTGGGGAGAAGTTATCTCTCCTCTTTGTAAATAATAAACTCTTGGCAGGCAGCCACTAGGTTGTTGCCAAGTTCCGTTATCATAAGGAAAAGGATATTGCCGGCTGGTTTGGTCTTTAACTCCTGAATGTCTGTTGGTGTGCGTGCATGGGGTTGGGGACAGAACAGCATAGGGCTTGGAATGAAGGTACTCTATTGTGGAAGGCTACAAGTGGGCAGTGAACTAAAGGACTGTGTGTCTAAGGTTCTCCAGACGTTGTTGAAGTCGGTTATGGTTGCCACACCATACAAAAAGGATGCTGAGACCTTGGAAAATGTGCAGGAAAGAGCAATAAAGATGATAAGAGATCTGGAGGCTAAGCTGTACAATGAACACTTAAGGGAACTAGATAGGACGAGTTCCGTGATGGCGAACTTATGGCACGCGTGCCAGAGGTGGCACACAGCACCCTCTCTGATGGCACGTGAGCTGGCGCCCAAGTTCAGCTCTGCTGCGCATGCGCGCATGCCTCCCGCCAGTCAGCTGGTCTTCAGATCTCTGCTGTGCATACGCAGGGGGTGGGGCAAGTGTGGGGAGCCGTAAGTGCATGGAGCATATGTGGTGGGCCGCGTGTGCATCTGTGGTGGGTTGCCCCCGGTTCGTACCGGTTCTATAGAACCGGTAGTAAAACCGGTGGGATGCTCTGCCCACCGTCCCAATGTCATCAAAACACTTCTGCACTTGCGCAGAAGAGTGAGCACATGCGCGAATGAAGCGAGTGCGCTCGCGCATGTGGGCCCACTGCAAACTGGTAGTAAAGGTAAGTAGAACTCACCCCTGGTGTGCCTGCACAGGGGGAAGGTGCATGCGCAGGGTTAGGGTGCATGCACGGGGGCCACACACGCATTGCATTTTAGGGGTTCGGGCACATGCACTCACATGTGCATTCGCATTTGGGCACTCAGTCCAGAAAAGGTTAGCCATCACAAGTCTAGTTTAATACGGTGTAGAAAATTGTCACCCATCCCTCTCCTGGAAGAATGAAATATTTTAGGAAATATTAAAAAGGCAGAATATTATATTTCCCTCAAGGGAGAAATATGCTCTTGAAGACAGAAAGCAGCCCCCACCTTCCTTAATTGCCCTCAGCAGATGTCAGAAGTTAAGAGATAGATAGCTCTATTCATAGGCAAAAATTCCCTGCAGCTAGGTCTGAACAAAGGTAGGATTAGCCCTCAGCCACAATAGGAATTGCCCAATGCCCCTTCATTGCACTAGCAGTCCAAACTTCGACCAAACTTAGCTCAGACAAACATGACCCCTACATGGCCCCACAGGAGTCTGACAACAGCCAATAGAATACATGTTCTTGCACAGGAACAGGAAGCTCAAGTGCAAAGCTTAAAGAAGGTATTAAAAACCCCTAACTCTCAACTCCATGTGGTCAGCTGCCCAGAACCCATGTGGTTCTGCTTCATTATTAAATGGATCCTCTTTCCAATCAGCCTCCAGCCTCCATTTTGTCTCCAGTGCCTTTCTCTCCCAGCTTGGACCTGGAAACTGGATTTTTCTTCCAACAAAGGAAGAAGGATTGATAGAAACATGCTAGATGTCTTCTGGTACTTAAGAAGCAGTCATAGGGAGAAGGGGATTGACTTATTCTCCAAAGGGGTTGACTTATTCTTGTCCTGAGGGCAGGACAAGAAGTAACAGGTGGCAGCTTATCAAAGAGAGATCCAACCTAGAACTAAGGAGAAATTTCCTGACCGTGAGAACAATTAATCAGTGGTACAACTTGCTTCTGAAAGTTGTGGGATGCTCCATCATTGCAGGTCTTCAAGAAGAGATTGGACAACCCTCTGTCCGGGATGCAATAAAGTCTCCTGTCTTGGAAAGGGAGTTGGACTAGAAGACCTCCAAGGTCCCTTCCAGTCCTGTGATTTTAAGTCCAGTTGCCTACTGCTATCTCTTAGACCACTCGACCTAGTTATCTTGGGTAACTCAGCAAAAGTGTAATTCAGCCAAAAAATAGTTTACCCCGTGCCACGAAAATGAGGATCTATTAATTTTGAATAAAGCTGCAGTCTTATGACCTTTACTCATTAAAGTCCCAGGACTTCAGCATAGGGAAGTCTCTAACTACACCAGTGGTGGAATTCAAATTTTTGTACTACCATGTTTCCCCGAAAATAAGACCCCGTCTTATATTTTTTTGAACCCTGAAATAAGCACTTGGCCTTATTGCCATGTGCTCAAAAGCCCGATTGGGCTTATTATCAGGGGATGTCTTATTTTGGAGGAAACAGGGTACCGGTTCTGTGGGCGTGGCTTGGTGGGTGTGGCTTGGTGGGCATGGCAGGGGAAGGATACTGTAAAATCCCCATTCCCTCCCTACTCCAGAGGAAGGATACCGCAAAATCTCCATTCCCTCCCCATTCCAGAGGGAAGGATACTGCAAAATCTCCATTCCCTCCCCAATCCTGGGGCCAGCCAGAGGAGGTATTTGCCGGTTCTCCAAACTACTCAAAATTTCCACTACCGGTTCTCCAGAACCTGTTAGAACCTTCTGAATAGCACCCCTGAACTACACCCATGTCACCATTCCCAGTTAGAATGACCAACAATCAGGTTTTCCTGGATGGACTCAATTCCTTTATTATTATTTTTTCTCTTCCAGGAAAAAAAAGAAGTATTCAGACATTTTTCTCCTTTGTCTAGGAATTCTGTTACTGATAAGTTCTTTGGTTTGCCACTTTGGAGACCCTTTTTAAGGAGTCTTTTCTTGAGATTTGAAATACTCAGCATGTTCCTAACGAGATCTGTTCAAGAAACGTACAAAAGGGTTCCTGTCTTTGGTGAAGAATTTATTGCTTTGAGACTTACATCATGCACTGGAGTTTTACAAAAATTACAGATGGAAAAATACAGTGATAATACATTATATATAAAGGGGAGAGGGAGGCGCGAGTCCCTTCTCTCTCTCTCTCTCTCTCTCTCTCTTTCTCTCTCTCTCTCTCTCTCTCTCTGATTTTATTTTATTTTTTTTAAAAATCAGCATTGGAAAAAAAGCCAATAATGTGGCTTTTTCAGTTATCAGCCCGAACAAAAGAGGCGAAGATGCTGTCTTCTTGGGCCAGCAGATTCTCAGGTGTGTCATTTTCCAAAATGACCCCTCGTTTCATCACAATGACCACGTCTGCGGTCAGGATAGTGTGGACTCGATGCTGCAGTTTAAAAAAAAAAAGGTGTTATTTGGTTTTTCATGGTTTGAGGTAGGCAAGTCAGCAAAGAGACATTACCAAGATCAATGGAAGTCTGCTTTATTCTTTTTTGTTTATTTACTTAATTTTTATTCCGTCTTCATTATTAGATAAGTAACTCAAGGCATCAAACTTTCCTAATATTCCTTCTTTCCTCTTCTTTTTTTTTTAAATAATTTTTATTATTTTACATTTTAAAACCAAATACACAATAGCAAAAGAAGTCAAGAGACAAAACAAAAACAAAAACACATATACTTACATCAAACATTAAAATACAATACTAACAACAAATATATACAATTTAACAACTTTGTGCATCAACTTTTGTCTTTACTCTTAGCTTTTATCCTCCTGCTCCTTCTCTTTATTTTTAAATATTCATAATTAACTGTTTTGTTAGGAGGATCATTATTTACATTTATATCCAGTATGTTAATATCAAATTTCACTTTATATCCTTATTTCACTTTATAGTCTTATTTCTTAATTTGATTTCTGTTTTCTAACCATGTATAAAACCTATTCCACACTTTGTAATAATCCGAGTCTTCTCTTTCTTTGATCTCTATCGTTAATTTACCCATTTCCACATGTGGTGGATGTGCCCTAAGGTGAGGAAATTTTGGTATAAAATTAAAGGGTGGTTTAGAAGAGATTACATTCCAAAAGATAGATTTTAAACCGGAGATGTGCCTCCTAGGAATGACTGATAGAAAAATTGAAAAAAAGTCTCTATTATATTATATTGTATATTCTAACGGCGGCCAGAATTACTCTAGGGCAAATGTGGAAGTCGACCAATACACCATCGGAAGAAACAATAATAATAATAAAAAATCCTCGAATCCTTCTTTCTTCTATTTTCCCCACAATAACCCTGTGAGGTGAATTGGGCTGAGAGTGACTGGCCCAAAGCCACCCATACCTGGCCTTCATGCCTAAAGCAGAGCTTAAACTTCACCATTGCCTTCAGATGTTGTGGGTGCTTCATCATTGGAGGTTTTTAAGAAGAGACTGGGCAGTCACTTGTCTGAAATGGTACAGCATCTCCTGCTTGAGAAAGGGGTTAGGCTAGAAGAGCTCAAAGGTCTCTTCCAGCTCTATTCTGATTGATTGATTGATTGATTGATTGATTGATTGATCTCCTGGTGATTAGCCCAAAGTCACCTAGCTGGGTTTTGTGCCTAAAATGGGACTAGAATTCACTGTCTCCTTGTAATTGGCCCACCTGGCCAGCGTTCATGTCTGAAGTGACACTAGAACTCACAGTCTCTTGATTTTCTCTTGGTTTCTAGGCCAGCACCTTAACCACTATTCCAAACTGGCTATTGAAATAAACTTGAAAGCCTAAATTTCTCTTAATCCCAACAACATAAAAAGAATTAAGGCTGATTTGCAGAGAAACCTCCTTTTCAGATCTCAAATGTCTGGGCGATTGAAAAAAAAATTACCGTATTTTTCGGAGTATAAACCTTAGTTTTAAACCTTAGTTTTTGGGGAGGAAAATAAGAAAAAAGCTGATTGGTGGGTGGATCGCCCTCCCGGAATACCCCCAATCAGCTGTTCCCAACAGGTGAATTTTAGCAACAGGTTCATTGGTTGTGAGCTCTGTGCCTTGCTTTTTTTTCTGCCTCTGAAACTTCTGAAACTCCATTTCAGAAAAAAAACTTTTTTTTCTGCCTCTGAAAGCCTCCAAAACAGAGCTTCAGAAAAAAAGGCTTTTTTTTTTTCTGAAGCTCTGTTTGGAGGCTTTTTTTCTGAAGCTTCTTTCAGAAGCTTTTATTCTGAAGGACTATCTGTACTCTGTTCAATCTCCTTTCTTTGGTATTGGTATGTAGATTAACCTCTTCCCATCTGTTGGTTATTGTGTCATTCTCCAGATTTGTTAGCATAGTTTGGTTAGAACCTTTACTGATTCTTCTTTTGTTGCTTGCCATATTATTTTAGATAAAAGCCTTTCTGAGGCTTTTTTTTCCTGAAGCTCTGTTTGGAGGCTTTTTTTCTGAAGCTTCTTTCAGAGGCATCTTTCAGCCCCTGAAATTCCGTTTGAGAGGCTGGGCGGGGCTAAATTCGGAGTATAAGACGCACCCAGATTTTCACCCTCATTTTTTGGGGGAAAAAGATGCATCTTATACTCCCAAAAAATACAGTATATGGCATTTTGCCTGGGGCAGCCCAGTCTCATTTGTCTGGGAGCTGACCAGGTTTGAGCCTGGCTAGAATCAGAGATCAACGGGACATAGGGTAGATTTGGATTTTTTTAAAAAAAAAATCCCCAGAATTTATGCACAGAAGAACCCTTTGCCATATTTCTGCCCAGAAGCATCACAAGAAAGGCTCCATGACATCACCAGAAGTTGAGCTAGACTTGAAGGAGAGTTTTATTTATTTATTTTAAATTCCTTGTTTCCCTTGAATTGTTCAAGGTTGTTGGGGAAGAGTATGTCACTGAGTTAAGTGTTTGCCAGCTGAGCTTCCATTCTAAAACCTACGGTAGTTTGCCAGGGAACTTATCTGTAACTGAGATAAGACTGGTCTTGTGAGACATTGGACTACTGCGCATGTCTACATTCTTTTCTTTTCTAACTTCCTGATTTTTCCTTTGTCCGTCTCTGTGTTAAGACTGCCGGTAAGATGTAGTTACCTAGTTTTGTACTTTTATAATAAAATGTTTCATAGAATATATACTTCGGGTTTTCTTTCTTTGAGAGTATACACCATGGAAAACAAGATCCATTCACCTCTAATTAATTACAGTTTCCCCAGGGGGGGAACGAGGCTGATTCACGCTTCGACAGAGTAAATCAAGAACACAGGCCTGCAGTTTGGTGTGGTGAAATAAACCTTCCCTTTTCAATCGGTGACCTTGGCAAAGTTAGAAAAAAAACTCTAGAAAAGCGAGACCAAGAATAACCCTCTGGAACTTAGGCAGAGACAAAGAGCAGAAAGAACAGAAAACAGCAGTACCAGAAAGCCCGAAATCTTGCAGGAATCCTGAGCTGGAGCAACTATTTGTTGGTCTTCACCAAAGTGGTGAAGAGGCCATCCTCCTTGAGGAGCAGATTGGCAGCCGAATCATACTCAACAACCGCCCCATCCGAAAGGACTAAGACAAGGTGGGCATCCAGGATGCTGGAGACCCGGTGCTGAAAGGAAAAGCAAGGAAAAGCAAAGGCAAAGAGAGAAAATCACAGAAAGGGAACCCATTCCAAAAATAGGACACAGATAGAATGGTCCGATGGACAATATAGAAAGCAAACGTGCAAGTATAGAAACCAGTGGCCAGAACTATGGTGGTGTTGAGCCAGTTGACCAGTGGTCTACCTCAGATTCTCCCCCTCCCAGTTTCTCATTTACATATTCTCTTTATCCAGCTAGCTACCCCATTTTCTCCACTGGGGAAGCAGCCTGAGTAGTGAGATTGTTTGGCTGGACCTCTAGTTTGCCTAGTTTTAGTGGTGGAATTCAAAAAATTTAACAACTTGTTCTCTGCCCTAAGGACTGGCTGGGTGGGCGTGGCCATGGTGGGCGTGGCCAGGGGTGTGTGACAAGCAGCACTTTGCCTCTTGCACCCCCCCCAGGAGCAAAAACGTGCTGCGGGGTGGGGGGGCACGAGCTCCCTATTTTGGGCCTAGTAGGCCTCCCTGCAGCCTCCTGGAAGCAAAAACGGGCCGGGGAGGGCTGTGCCGCACCCCCCCGTGCCACGTTTTGGGCCTAGTAGGCCTCCCTGCAGCCTCCTGGGAGCAAAAATGGGCCAGGGGGCGTGCCACACACCTCCGCGCCCCATTTTGGGTCTAGTAGGCCTCCCTGCATTTACCTGGGAGCCAAACCGGGCATGTGGGGACTCCTGGAAGGGGCAGGGAGGGGATAGGTAGAGCCAGACAGCAATTTAACAATCGGTTCGCCCAAACCGGCCTGAACCAGCTGTTTTAGACCCCTGATAGTGAACCTGCTGTAGCAGGACCAACTAACTGACTTTCCTTGGGCTCAGAAGCAGCATCAGGCCTCATTAACCCTTGGAAGGAGGAGCGCAGAAAATTCTTGGACTGTAGGCTAGAGAATTAAGAGAACATTCTGCAAGAAAGCTCTTTCTCTCCTTCCTTCCTTCCTTCCTTCCTTCCTTCCTTCCTTCCTTCCTTCCTCCCTCCCCCTCCTCTCCTCTTCCCTCCCCTCCCCTCCTCTCCATCCCACTCCCCTCTCCCTCTCCCCTCCCCTCCTCTCCTCTCCTCTCCATCCCACTCCTTTTTTCCTTTGGCATTCAATATAACAAGATCAAACCAATCTGAGAAAACATTTTCATGTTTCTATATTGATCTTTATGCTAGACTAATTTGTGCAAATGGAAACTCTATTTAACTCTACAGACTTCACTGGTATGTAGAAGTATTATGAAAATAAAAGTAAAGTACAGTAGAAGAATGGTTTCCAAGTGACCAAACAGACAAGGCCCTGTGAGCTAGCCTAAGCTGAGAAATTAAAATTCATCAGCTAATGACAAGCCACTTCCATAACTCTGCCAGGATGATATTTTTGTGTATGCTAACATCTACATAGCTACTAAGATTTGAGTCCGTCTCATTGGATTCTTCATTTTAAAATATGGATAATGTATAATGATGTCCAAACAAAGACATAATTAGGTACCGACAGGAGTGTACAAATATTTCTGTATTTTAGATGTCCTTAATTTCTTCTAGAGAAGAAGTTCATCATCTGATGAAGTAGGAAAAGAAGCCCATTAGGAAATGTCTACTTACAGCAATCGTCACGACTGTGCGATCCGCAAAGGCAGTCATTACAACTTTTTGCAAAATGTTTTCCTGCAAAAAATAAAAACAGGAGTCACCAAAAGATATCTCTGGGATCCCTGGAGAACTCACGTTATCAGGAGGAGGAGTCTTCTAGCTTTGACTAGGCCAAGTCACTATATTTGGAGGTCTGCATGATTTAGATTTACACAGCTGTCAAGGAGATGCTCACTTAAACCACGCATCCTGTTGTCTATGGAGATTCTCAGTCCTCCACGTCATGGTTGTCTCAAAGGTGTTTTTCCAAAAGGCAACTGGGCTTCGTTTTTCCTTGAAGATGTTTCGCTTCTGAACTGAAGAAGCTTCTTGGATGAGAAGTGAAACATTTTCAAGGGAAAAAACCCAAGAAAGTCCAGTTGTCTTTTGGAAAAAGCACCTTTGGGACACTCATCCTATTGGATCACAAAGAATGTCTACAGCAGGGATATTGTTCTGTCCCCTCCCACGAGTGGCCTTGCAGAAGCTCAAATAGCCCGGCAGTAACAAACGCAGGCTAGAGAGATTGAAGCTGGCCCTTTAATAAACAGTTCTCTTTCAAAAGTATATCAGGTCAGTAATTACTGGCAATGTTCCAAAGGTATATCAGGTCAGTAATTACCGGGCAATGTTCCAGAGGTCTTGGCAGACGGCCAGCAGGCTAATGCAGGAATGCAGACTCCTTTTCAAAACTCAAAAACTAGCAGTTCTAAACTCCACTACATCCGAAATGCCAACAAATTGTTCACCACGCCTTTCCGGCCCAGCCACACCCCTTTTATACTTTGTAGGGTGTGGCCCTACGTCTCCTGACCACACCTCTTGGGATGTGGCAATAGCTGTTCTCTACGACGTCTCCTACGTCTCTCTCTTGCATCCAATAGGGGCTCCCTCTCCTTGTTACCGGTCTCTGTTTCCTCCTCAATTTGGCTGGGGTCCAGAGGCATGTCAGCAACTGTCAGTTCTTGCTGACTCACTAGTGAAGGCAGCCCCTCCGGCACATAGCTCGTGCCAGCTTCCTCCATATCATCCTCCGACTCAGCATGCGAAGATAAATCAGCCTCCGGGGCCGGAGTCACAACAGATATCCAAACTTTAAGACCTGTGGACTTCAATTCCCAGAACTCCCCAGCCAGCTAGGTCTTAAAGTTACCAAGCTTGGACATCTCTGGTCTACAGCCAAGGAAAAATTGAGGGGCTGCCCTCAAACTCATGTCCATCAATTCAATTCATCAATTCAGAATAGAGCTGGAAGGGACCTTGGAGGTTTTCAACCCCCCTGCTCAGACAGAAAACCCTACACCATTCCAGACAAGTGGTTGTCCAGCCTAAATCTTCCAGTGATGAAGCTGTTCCACTGGTTAATTGTTCTCACTGTTAGGAAGTTTCTCCTTAATTCCAGATTGCTTCTCTCCTTCATTAGTTTCCATCCATTTTTTTCTTGTCCTGCCTTCTGGTGCTTTGGAAAATAAGTTGACCTCCTCTTTTTTGTGGCAGACCCTCAAATACTGGAATACTGCTATCATGTCCCCCGTAGTCCTAATGTCAACTCGTAAAGCATCCCTGGCCTGCTCTCGAGTTGCCATAGGCAAGGAGGATGGGTAACCGACGAAGCAACCCGGCAGCTAAAGACAGGAGCACATTCCAGACATATCTTTCTCAAGGCTGTCGCCCAGGGTTATCTGCAGCAGCCGGAGGGGAGTGATCTCTACAACCAGTGAAATTACTCCGTTGGCAAATGTGATTGATAACACATTCTGGGGGGGAGGGGGGAAACAGGGTCATGATTGGGGCCATAAATTACGTGGGGTCAGAGTTGGCTTCATTTGGGAACGTGCTGATATGGAGCTCCTAATAAATAACTGGATTTCTTTTGAAGCTTGGCTTGAGGCTCATGATTTAATTAGGGCATCCGTCAGAACCCTGAAACCTTCTTTTCTCTAGACTGGCCATACCCAAATACTGCAACTGTTCTTCATATGTTTTAATCTACAGGCCTTTAATCATTTTAGTTGCTCTTCTCTGTACTTTTTCCAAAGCCTCAACATCTTTTTTTGTAATTTGGTGACCAAAACTGGATGCAGTATGTCCAGAAGTTGACCAAACTGGTCAATGAACTTACATCAAAGTTCTTGTTAAGACACATGTTCCCCCATGACCAAGAGCAACCCTTAAAGTGAGAGGACCCATTTTGGTGGGCTGCATGATATTACCTTCCCCTTAATTTTCATCAATTTATCTCTGCTCCCCCTTGCATAATCTGCTGCCTGAAATGAAGGTCTCATTCTGCCTCAGAGCAAGACCAACTTGGACTTCATGTCCTGAGTGGCGTAGGAGGCTAATGCCTCCTACTAAGGCAGCATTTAACATCCAGCTGCCTGCAATTACTGTGAGTTCAATTCTCACCAGGCTCAAAGTCGACTCAGCCTTCCATCCTTTCTAAGGTGGGTAAAATGAGGACCCGGTTTGTGGGGGCAATAAACTGACTTTGTATAAAATATACAAAAGTATGAAGGCTATTGCTTAACGCATTGTAAGCTGCCCTGAGTCTCCGGAGAAGGGCGGCATATAAAAATAAATAAAAATAAAAATAAATGTTATTGACACTTAAATGGACCGATCTCTGTTTAGGTTACCAATGGAAAACTGCTCAGCGCCCTTCTATCTGAAGTTGGAAGAGGGAAAATAGACATGGAACCAGTGTTTGTCAGATGCAAGAAGTCAGGAACCAGGATAGAGTTCAAAAGCAGCACAAGTGTAGCTCCTGCTACCTACGCACAAGAATCTGAACTACTAATGGTTAAAAATGAATTGGTGCCAGATAAGAGTCAATGGACTTCAAGAGGGGTTGAGCATGGATCTCTTACAGGGGTGTGGAGACTCCAAACTGATGACGCATTTGACACAACCCTCCCCAGGCTCAGCCTGGTCGTCTTCTACAGCATCTCACCAAAGGAGTCCCCGCCCCTCTTTCAAGTTCAGATGTCAAAGAAAATTGAGTAATCAAGGGACACAGGAAGGTACACCTACTTACTGTGGCCATATCGATGGAAGCGGTGGCCTCATCCATAATGAGGATGCTGCTCTTACGCACAAAAGCCCGAGCTAGACAGAAGAGTTGCCGCTGGCCAACACTGAAATTCTCACCACCTTCAGTTACAACAGCATCTGGGAATAGGAGAGTTAGGATCAAAACAAGGTATTTGAAGAGCTGTCTCACCCCAATGGGATCAACCTTTCCCCACTCGTGCCAGTGGAAGAGGACAGCCACGGATCCCATCTGCTAAGGAATTCTGCCAAGTGGGGTCAAGGAGAAGAACCTTTTCCGGTGTGGTCCCATCCTATGGAACACTTGACCACTGGAGGTGAGAACTGCTCCCATCCTTTTGGTCTTCCGGAAGGATAATTAAAACCTGGCTTTGCCGGTTGGCTTGCGACCCCCGAGGGGGAATTCACTGCTGGAGATGGTTGATGGGGTAAGAAGACCCTCATCCTTGTGCTGTCAATCACCAGAGAGGCAAGAGCGACTGCAACTCTTTTTCCATGGGTGCCACTTGGTAATAAATCAAGTCTGCTACAACTCAGATGAGCCACCCAAGGGTTGCTCTGTGCTTATCAGTTGAACAGGTCTACGGATCTAATTAGCTATGATATACACACCTAGTCCACCAGGCAGGACTTTGACCATGTTCTTCAACTGTGCAATCTCCAAGGCTTCCCAAAGGGTATCATCTGTACATTTGCACTCTGGATCCAGATTAAAACTATGGGGGGGAAAAAAACCAGAAAACCAAACCATGTTGCTGAGTAGGCATGATTTGTGAACTAGAAATCAAATTAACATCTCAGTTTTCTAGATAAGGCCATCGATTCAGTCAATTCTTGACCCATTGAGTTCTAATCTCTGGTACGTGACTTGGCTACTGAAATAGACAAATTGTCAGGTTTCGAGGTCATCTCAAATAAATTGCATTTCAAACAAAGTCTTTGAAGAAAACTCCCATTTATTAAGCATGACATTCTAAATCCGACTCCATCGAAGCCAACACTGACTTCCAGACCCAAAACCCTCCCTTTCCGTTCCTCACTCCCCTGCACTCATTGGCCATCTTCCAAGTCACTCTACCCCTAATCTACTGCTCCAGCTCAAAGGAATTTCCCCCCTCCCATCCCATCTCCTAGGGGATATTATCTCCAGGGAAAATAAGTAGGTGAAAAGTCAAATGTCCCTTTCCAGACGCCTTCGCTTCTCCTTCTTATGTCAGCACTAGAGTAAATGCAGCTTGAAGTGCTGACACAAATCAATTCTGTGTACAGGTAGTTCTCGACTTACAACAATTCATTTAGGGACTGTTCAGAGTTACAACGGCACTGGAAAAAGTGACCTTTTCCCATTTTCCCACACTTGTGACTGTTGCAGCGTCTCCATGGTCACATGAACAAAATCCAGATGCTTGGCAACTGACTCATAGTTATGATAGTAGCCGGGTTCCAGGGTCATGCAATCCCCTTTTGCGACCTTCTGAGAGGCAAAGTCAAGGGGGAAAGCCAGATCCACTTAAAAACGTGTTGCTAACTTAACAACTACAACGATTGACTTAACAACTGTGGCAAGAAAGGTTGTAAAACCCATTTAACAAATGGGTTCACTTAGCGATATAAACTTTGGGCTCAGTTGTGGTCATAGCTTAAAGGACGACCTAGATTTGAATCTGGACTCTCTAAAGTCATTTGATACATTCTACCTAAAGGGAGCAAGTGAAGGGATAAGCGAGATGATACAGGCACCTAAAAGCTATGATTGACACATCCTGACAGCAGAAGATAGTCTCAAAATGACTTCAATCTGCTGCTTTGTAGGAACTTCCCTTCTCCAACCCCTTCCTTCACTCAGAAGATTAACATCAAAGAACTCTCATGGTCTAGGACAGGGGTCTCCAACCTTGGCAACTTGAAGCCTGGAGGACTTCAGGTTTTCTGGGGAATTCTGGGAGTTGAAGTCCTCCAGTTGCCAAGGTTGGAGACCCCTGGTCTAGGATTCAGATTCCGAAGAACCTGCTGTAGATGAAGCACTGGAATGTCAGCCTTAGGAGACACCAAGCCAGAAGTCACCTGGCGCTGTTCAAACACAGGAACCATCAGAAACAGCTGGAGAACTTTCTTCAGCGTCGGAGTGTGAGTCCTGAACCATGAAATAAACCAGGATTGGGCAGCACAATCACCCAAGGGACTGTGTGAATTTCCAAGATACCATCTCTGGAGCCACCTTGGCCTTCTTGCGTGGAAATTTGTGGCTTACCTACCAATCGGAGTTTTAAAAAATAGTGTACACACCATAACTTAAGTTTCCATTTTCAGAAATAAAAGGAAATCAGAATAACAGAGTCGGAAGGGACATTGGAGGTTTTCTAGTCCAACCTCCTGCTCAAACAAGAGACCCTATACGAGTGGTGGGTTGCCTCCGGTTCGCACTGGTTCTATAGAACTGGTAGTAAAACTGGTGGGAGGCTCCGCCCACTGACCCCGATGTCATTAGAATGCTTCTGCGCATGTGCAGAAGAGCGCACGTGTGCAGAAGCAAAGCAAGTGTGCACAAACAGCCCCGTTGTGAACCGGTAGTAAAGGTAAGTAGAACCCACCTCTGCCCTATACCCAGTGGTGGGATCCTGCCAGTTTAACAACCGGTTCGGTGATCACACGCTTCGCGTGTGTGTGCGCAGTTTTACGAAAACTTACCTTCCACGTTACTGCTGGGGAGTAACACAGCTGAAGTGCTGCAATCCGCTTGCTGCACGAATCAGCTGAGAAGATACAGGTCAGTAAACCGCAGGAGCTGGCAGGTGGGCCTGTCTGATTTTTGGAGCAAACTGGTTCGCTCCCAGCTGATCGTCGGAACTACCGGTTTGCCCGAACCGGTAGAATCCTACCCCTGCCTATATCATTCCAGGCAAGTGGCTGTCCAGACTCTTCTTAAAAATCTCCAGTGATGGAGCATCCACAACTTTTGAAGGTAAGCCATTCCTCTGATTAATTGCTTTATTCCCCCAAAATCCCCAAACTCAACTTGTATATCACATCATGCTTCAGCAGGGGGTTGGACTAGAAGACTTCCAATGTCCCTTCCAACTCTTATTCTATTATTATCATTCACCTTACCTACTAAGATCTCAAAATGTCCAGTGCAGCTTCTGGCATCAAAAATCAAAAATCCTGCAGTTCAAGACTGAAGGTAGCTTTGCACTAAAATGTCCAATTTTGTGCTCCTAGTGCGAATGACTGTCTCAACCCCTACCCCCCAAAAACCCCAGCTATTGTAACACCCTAATGAGAAGCGTCTGTTGCATTTACAGAAAACGCTGGATTAGTATCATGACAATGTCCATGAGGAATCATGTGAATGGTACATTTCTAGGCACTGTTGCACAAAATTGAGCAAGCTCGCACCAAGGTTTGTCCGTGCCAGAATTTTCTGGAAAGCTTTCCATTTTTAGCAATCGGAGCTGTAAGCGACAACATTCAAAAGCACACATAGAAAAGGATCTGATGTATTCATTGCAGGACCGGATCTGGGGAATCTCTGCTCTACCCAATTCCTGGGTCCAGAAAAAGAAGCTAATTTTCGGACCTACAAGAACTTACCGAATTGAACCACTGAATAAGATAGGATCCTGGAGGATTATAGAGAGCCTGGAACGCAGCAGATCGAGAGGCAGTTTTGTAATGTCAATCCCGTCAATGATAATCCTTCCTGTTTGAAATCGTTTGGAGCAAAACAAAAGAGATGGAGCTACAAAACAAGCAGAACCCACAGAAACATCCAGAAACAGGGGTGTGAGCCTGGAAGAAATCACTTGAAAGGTTCAAGGGGACCGTCAGAAATAAAAACATCCCCATAAGAATAGAAATTGCAAAATGTGCAATTAAATAAAGGCATGATATTTTAATCCTTTGGAAATAATTTTCCCAAAATGCCATGGCTTAGTCTGTGCCCTACAGCTGCAGTTTATGCTACTGTGGAGAATATCATGATGTCCATTTGAATCCCAGTCATTGACAATCAGTGAAAGAAAGAAGGAAGGAAGAAGAGAGAAGAGAAGGAAGGAAGGAAGGAGAGAGAAGAGAAGAGAAGAGGGGTGGGGAGGGGAGGGGAGGGGAGAGGAGAGGAGAGGAGAGGAGAGGAAAGGAGTGAAGAGAAGAGAAGAGAAGAGAAGGGAGGGAAGGAAGAAAGGAAGAAAGGAGATGGAAGGAAGGAAGAGAGGAAGGGTGGGAAGAAGGAAGGAAGGAGATGGAAGAGAGGGAAGGAGGAAGAAAGAAAGAAAGGAGATGGAAGGGAGGAAGAGAGGAAGAGAGGAAGGGAGGAGGGTGGGAAGAAGGAAGGAAAGAAGGAAGGAAGGAAGGAAGGAAGGAAAGAAAGAAGGGAGGGAGGGAGGAAGAAAGGAGATGGAAGGAAGGAGATAGAAGAGAAGGGGAAAGTGATGGAAGAAAGGGAGAGAGGGAGGGGAGGGAGGGAGGGAGGGAGGAAGGAAGGAAGGAAGGAAGGAAGGAAGGAAGGAAGGAAGGAAGGAAGGAAGGAAGGAAGGAAAGAAAAAGTATGTGACCAAGATATGTGACCTATGGGTTATCAAGAGATGGCAAAAATAGCTTTTATTGCTCAGACCATGACAACATCTGGGTAATTTTTGGTTTTTCCTCCCCCTCCCTCCCTCCCCCCTCCCTCTCTTTGTCTTTTAGTCTTTTCTAGTATAACTCGGCCGAGCCAAAAAGTGCAAGAAATTAAGGAACGGTAGCCTTTAGCGATAAGAACCACTAACACAGCAATTGAAGCTTCTCCTTTAGAACTACCACTGAATATCCTTCCACAAAGCACGGGTGGAGCTCCGCAGTATGAATTTTGTGGCCTTTCTGTGGTTCTCTAGCTTTTGGGAGGCCCAAACAGGAAAAAAAAAATCGGGATGCTTGTCCAGAGACAGAAAAAAAACCAGAAGACATTCTCAAAGCCTCCCAATCTAAATTCTTCCTAAAATAATAAAAAAAAAAGAGATAACCTGACTGATCCAGCTGGGAATAAGACATGGAAAGGGCAACTCCTCCTCTGCCTTCCCTCTTCCCCGAAAGGCAATACTCTGAGAGCATGGTGTGTGATTAACGAGCTACTAAGGGGATAATTTATGAGGTGTTGAACTGTGAGGGAAGAGAAAGAGCAGCGGTTAACGCGGCTGATCGAAATCAGCCAGGCAATAAGATTTCCATCCTTTGGCGTTCTTGTCTGTGGTGGTGGTGGGCTGTGCATGGTTGTATCTGCAGGCCACAAAATGATCAGCAATCGTGTAGATCAGGTATGTCAAACTCGATTTCATTGAGGGCTGCATCAGGGTTGTGTTTGACCTCGGGGGGCATGGCGTGGTGTGGCGTGGCCAGGGGGCATGGCCAGCTCAACGCAGGACTTCCCTCAGACCCTCCCTCCCTCTCATTATAATCTTCCTTCCTTCCTTCCTTCCTTCCTTCCTTCCTTCCTTCCTTCCTTCCTTCCTTCCTTCCTTTTCTTCTTTTTCCTTCCCTCTTCATTCCTCTTTCCTTCTTTTGCCTTCCTTGCTCTCTTCCTATCTTCCCTTCTTTTTCTTCGTCTTTCCTCTTTCCCTTTCTCCTTTCCTGTCCCTTCTTGCATGCTCAAATGCAAAAGGGGAAACATTTCTCCTTTTGCTTTGCTTTTAGTTTGTTTCGATAGCCCTCTGCCAGCGAAAACAGAGCCCTGGACCTCCCCCCCCCCCTTGCGCCCCGTTTTCAGCCTGGACAGACTCCTGCAGCCCCTCTGCCAATAAAAACAGAGTTTGGAGGCCCATGTGTAACCCTCACACTCTGTTTTCACTGGCAGAGGGCTGCAGAAGGCCGTCAGAGCCAAAAATGGAACCCGTAGGGACCACGCGCGGCCTTCCCAAGCTCCATTTTCATTGGCAGAGGCACCATGGGCGGGTCCTTTGCTGTTTCCAGGATGGTCCCGCAGGCCAGATCTAAGCACCTAATTTAAGTATAAGAAAGGGGAAAAAAACAGAGAATCATGGGTAAGGAGATGGTATTTCCCAAGGCAGCATCATGGTTGGCTGGGGAATTCTGGGAGTTGAAATCCACCCATCTTCAAGGGACCAAACTTGAGGAAACACCATCCTAGGATATCTATAGGTAGAAAAAGCAGGAAGCTCCTTGGTAAGTCTCTGGAGCTGAGTCTCGCAGGAAGGGATGGCTACTGATTTGTTAGCAAGCCTAGTCACAAAATGACAGAGGGGGAGGGGATAAGTCTTAGCCAGGGGTGGACTTCAAAATTTTTAGCAAGGGGTTCTCTGCCCGGTTGCTGGGAGGGCGTGGCCATGGTGGGCATGGCCTAGTCGGCTTTCCTCGAGCCTCCGGGAGGGCGAAAACGGCCTCCCCAGGCTCCGGAGGCCCTTCCCAAACTTCCAGTAGGCCCGTTTTTCACCCTCCCCGAGCCTCCGCATGTACCCTGGACTTACCTGCATCCAAAACGGGCTGAGTGGGGACTCTTGGGAGGGGAGGGGTGGGCTGGGCTGGGCCAGCCAGGAGTGGGATTTGGTGATTCTCCAAACTGCACAGAATCTTAGCTAGAGGTTCTCCCGAACCCCTGTGAACCCGCAGCAGCCCACCCCTGGTCTTAACACAATTTGAGCAAACTGATTCTAGATCAAATGAGAAGTGCACAGGTGATAGATCCCAGCTACAATATCGGTTGTTTCGAGCATTTTCGGAAATGCTTTGAGTATTAAAAAAGAAAGAAAGAAAACCTGTTTCAAGGTTGAAACACTTTGTATGTTGAGAACTCCAAACGGGACATTTTGAAATGACAGCAAATTCAAAATGTTACACACATCCCAAACGGCAACTGATTCAGAGAACTTACCGTCAAATATGTCTACCATCCTGAAGAAGGCCAACGAAAGGGATGATTTCCCACTGCCAGTGCGACCACAAATCCCAACCTTAAAGATAAGATTTATTGTGGCTTTTTATAAGTGGCATTTAGTGGGGGTAATTACCAATAGTTATTGCTTAATGATAATTAAAAAGAAGTTATATTCTTCACAATGAGAGGTGTAGAAAGTTAGCACCCATCCCTCTCCTAGAAGAATGAAATATTTTGAATGAAATATTAAAAAGGCAGAATGTTATATTTCCCTGGATGAGAAATGGAGAAACATGTTTTGTAGAGGGAGAAAGCAGCCCCCACCTTCCTTAATAGCCCACAGCAGATGTCAGCACTTAAGAGATAAAGAGATAGCTAGCTCTATTCATAAGCAAATACCTTCACCCAAGATCCAATAAAGGTAGGATTAGCCCTCAGCCCCAATAGGAATTGCAAGCCCCTTCATTGCCTCAGCCAAACTTCAACCACGCTTAGCTCAGACAAACTCCTAGGATTTGTACATGGCTCCATGGGAGTCTGACAACAGCCAATAGAATACATGTTCTTGCACAGGAACAGGAAGCTCAAGTGCAAAGCCCAAGAGAAGGTATAAAAACCCCTCACTCTCAACTCCATCTGGTCAGCTGCCCCAGAACCATGTGCTTGGTGGTTCTGCTTCATCATTAAACCCTCTTTCCAATCAGCCTCCATGTTTCCAGTGTCTTTCTCCCGGCTTGGAACTGACTAGATGGATATTTGTTTCAACAGAGGTAACTTAAAACAAATATTAAGGCTTCCCTTATCCAAAATTTCATTTCACTCTCTCTCTTTCTGCAAAATGGAACATGAAAATAGAGATAAAGGATAGTCCTCAACTTACAACCCCAACTGGGTCCAGAACAAGGCAATTGTTAAACGAATCACGCCCAATTTTACAACCTCTTTTTTTGCCATGGTTGTTGCAGTTGTTAAGCAAACCATGCGGTCATTAAGCAAATCCAGCTTTCCCCATTGACTTGGCTGGGAAGGTTGCAAATGGTGAACACATGATTCCAAGATGCTGCAACCATCATAAATACACAGTTTAACAGTAACAGAGTTGGAAGGGACCTTGGAGGTCATCTAGTCCAACCCCCTGCTCACACAGGACTAGGGATTCGAACCGCCGAACTGCCGACCTTTCTGATCGACAAGCTCAGTGTCTTAACCACTGAGCCACCTAGTCAGGTTGCCAAGTACTCAAAATTTGGTCAAGTGACTGTGAGACTGCTGCAACAGTTGTAAGTGTGAGAACAGGTCATAAATCACTCTTTTCAGTGCCGCTGTAACTTCAAGCAGTCGCTAAGTGAAGGGTTGTAAGTTGAGGACAACCTACAATTGGATATTCCTCTGTCGACTCACAAATTCTAGATATGGATAAATAACTAGAGTCCGCCCGTTGCTAAAGTTTCTGGGAGCAAGGTATTTTAGCTTCTTTCTGATACCAAATCATCTTCAACAATGGATCCCTCGTTTCCTTATTTTGGTCAGAAATCCCGTGAAAAAGTATAAAATGATTGTAAGATTGTAAGGAACCTTTTGGCCTGGCTTGATGTATGCTTTCACATGCTTGAGAACTGGCTTCAGGTTATTCTCGTAGCGGACGCAGAGGTTTTCGATCTTGATTTCCCCTTCTTGTGGCCAGTCTTTGGGTACTTGAGAAATATCTGAGGGAAAAGATCAAAGCAGAAGTGTCCTGATTTGTATGAGCCATTCCTTCCCATCTTCGTCCGTTTTAAACTAAATTGAACGTTCCTATTTATTGTTTTAAGATTTTAATGTTTCAGATTGATGTTTTATTGATTGTAAGCCACCTAGAGCCATCTTTAGTTGAAATGAACGACATATAAGTTTAAATAAGAATAGAATAGAATAGAATAGAATAGAATAGAATAGAATAGAATAGAATAGAATAACAGAGTTGGAAGCAGGGGTGGGTTCTAAATTTTTTTACTACCGGTTCTGGGGGCGTGGCTTATTTTGTGGGTGTGGCTTGGAGGTCATGTGACTAGGTGGGCGTGGCTAGCTGGTCAGAGTCATTTCTGGGAGGTTCTCGCACTTACGACCAGTCCTCGCACTTACAACTCGATTCATTTGTTTGCTTTTAACACTGATCAGCTGTAGGGCGGCCCTTTGAAGCCCCGCGGCAAGAGTTTAAACAGTTTTTTTTCCCTCTAGTCATCAGCTGGGACTCAGGAGGCAGCAATAGATTGGGGCTGGGACCAAATAAAAGGTAAGAATAACGTGGGTGGGGGGGTGGGAGGGCGGGGGGGAGAACCTTGGTAGTACAGTGGTTTAATGCACCCTGTTATTAACACAGCTGCCTGCAATTTCTGCAGGTTCGAATCTCCCCAGGCTCAAGGTTGACTCAGCCTTCCATCCTTTCTAAGGTAGGTAAATTGAGGACCCAGTTTGCGAGGGCAATAAGCTGACTTTGTATAAATATACAAAAGTATGAAGGCTATTGCTTAACGCATTGTAAGCCGCCCTGAGTCTCCGGAGAAGGGCGGCATATAAATCAAATTTAAAAAAAAACAAAACAGTTTGGTGACGTCATATCGTCACCGCTACCGGCTCGGCCAAACCGGACCGAACCGGGAGGAACCCACCACTGGTTGGAAGGTACCTTGGAGGTCTTCTAGTCCAACCCTCTGTTCAGGCAGGAAACCCTACACCACTTCAGACAAATTACTATGCAAGAGAAAATTTTCTTATGCTCTGATGGGAGAGCCAGTTTGGCCTAGTGGTTAAGGCAGTAGACTAGAAAGCGGGAAGATTGTGAGTTCAGGTTTTGCCATGAAAGCTAGCTGGATGACTTTGGGCCAATCAAAAGAGGGCAGTGAGTTCTAATCCCGCTTTAAACCAGAGGTGGCATTCAGCAGGTTCTAACCAGTTCTGAAGAACCGGTAGCAGAAATTTTGAGTAGTTTGGAGAACCGGTAAATACCACCTCTGACTGGCCCCACCCCCATCTATTCTCTGCCTCCCAAGTCCCAGCTGATCAGGAGGAAATGGGGATTTTGCAATAACCTTCCCCTGGAGTGGGTAGGGAATGGGGATTTTGCAGTAACCTTCCCCTGGAGTGTGGAGGGAATGGGGATTTTGCAGTAACCTTCCCCTGGAATGGGTAGGGAATGGGGATTTTACAGTATCCTTCCCCTGCCACACCCACCATGCCACACCCACCAAGCCATGCCACACCCACCAAGCCACGCCCACAGAACCGGTAGTAAAAAAATTTGAATCCCACCACTGCCTTAAACATGATAGCTGGCTGGGTGATTTTAGGCCAGTCGTTCTCTCTCATCCCAAGCCACCTTACAAGGTTGTTGTTGTTGTGGGGGAAAATAGGATGAGGAAAGTGTGTTGGATATGTACACCAGCTTGAGTGATTTGTAAATCTAATACAGGTGGGATATAAATAAAGAAGCAACCATAATAAAGAAATTCATCTGAAGAGTAGACAGGGTGGTAGAAAGGGAATGTCAGCTAAGAAGAATCTTTAGTAATAAATAATAAGATAAAATGATGTGTTTTTTTTTCTGGTTTACATCAGTTATGAGCAACTTGGACCAAACAGAGCAGCCTCTGGAATGACAACATTCCCAGTCTGTTTTGGAAGATGGCAATTTGTCACGGAGAGCAGTAGCAAAGCAAGATTTATTTACTTTCGACAAGTTGGCTTGCTCTGAGGTCAACTCTCAAGGCAGGTTACTTGCGGCAGTGTTAATGCAAAGTAAACAAAGCAGGCAGCTTTTCGAACTTGCAGCATGACTCAAGTCTGACCCTCCCATCCTCTTCATGGCTGACCAAGGAGACCAGATCATGCTTCCCCTTTTATTCCATAGCTGGCAAATTGAAATCAAATGAACTGGTTGTTCCACAGCCAAAAAAAAAAAAAGAAGGGGGTTGTAATTAGATTGTAATTGCTCTTTAATATTGTTGTGGCTGCCTGACTCCACGGTGACTTTCAGCAGCTCACAAAAAAGTAAAAAGTAAAAAAAGTAAACTGAAGTTACTGAAAAAAAGTAAAAAAAAGAAAACAAGACTGACTTCATAACATAAAAAGAAGAAAAGAACTCAACCATCATCCAGACCCAGGACCAGGAGAACAACTGGGTATTTTAACAATTTACAGAAAAAAAAAATCAGTAAGATGGGAACAATATGGATCTGCAAGGGCAGGCTTTTCAAACTTGGCGGCTTTAAGACTTGTGGACTTCATCTCCCAGAATTCCCCAGCCAGCATGGCTGGCTGGGGAATTCTGGGAGTTGAAGTCCACAAAGTCTTAAAGTTGCCAGGTTTGGAGACCGCTGTCCAAGGAGATGCCATTCCATTGGCCAGAAACAACCACAAAGGAGGCACACTTTCCTCGATCCCATAATATGACATTGCTTAATCCACAGGATCTGGAATGTGTCCATTCTAGGTGACCGTACTGGGAACAAATGGAGACAAGTGGTCTCTTAAGGAGGCCATGATGTATTTGCTGTGATGGGCTGGAAACATCAAAATGATCCCTCATTCGTGACTAGAACAGACCATCTGCATTAAATAGAATAACGGACAGTTGGAAGGGACCTTGGAGGTCTTCTAGTCCAACCCCGTACTCAAACAGGAGACCCTATACCAGTGATGGCTAACCTTTTTGCCGTCGTGTGCCAAAAGCAGGAGGAGCGTGCTTTTGGCACATGACGTGACTTCAGCAACAGAGTGGTCAATGCCTGGAATGCACTACCTGACTCTGTGGTTTCATCCCCAAACCCCCAAAACTTTAACCTAAGACTGTCTACTGTTGACCTCACCCCATTCCTAAGAGGTCTTTAAGGGGGTGTGCATAAGCGCACCAGTGTGCCTACCGTCCCTGTCCTAATGTTCCCTTTTATTCGCATCCATTTCATGTATTTATAATTATGTTTATACTTGCATCTGTTATCTAATACAGGGGTCTCCAACCTTGGCAACTTTAAGACTTGTGGACTTCCAACTCCACAAGTTGAAGTCCACAAGTTGAAGCCAGCAAAGCTGGAGGAACTCTGGGAGTTGAAGTCCACAAGTCTTAAAGTTGCCAAGGTTGGAAACCAGTGATGGGTTCCTCCCAGTTCAGTCCGGTTCGGCCGAGCCGGTAGCGGTGACGATATAACGTCACCGAACCGTTCTCCCCCCCCACCCTCCCGCCCCCCCACCCATGTTATTCTTACCTTTTATTTGGTCCCACCCCCAATCTATTGCTGCCTTCTGAGTCCCAGCTGATGACTAGAGGGAAAAAAAGATAAACTCTTGCGAGGGGCTTCAAAGGGCCGCCCTACAGCTGATCAGTGTTAAAAGCAAACAAATGAGTTGGGTCGTAAGTGCGAGGACTGGTCGTAAGTGTGAGGACCTTCCAGAAATGACTCTGACCAGCTAGCCACGCCCACCTGTCACATGACCTCCAAGCCACACCCACAAAATAAGCCACGCCCACAGAACCGGTAGTAAAAAAAATTAGAACCCACCCCTGTTGGAGACCCCTGATCTAATACATGCTAGATGAAATAAATTAAATAAATAAATAAAACAACACCGGTAATGCCGCACCTATGGTGCCTTCGTAATTCTCAGACTCCATGTTGAGGAAGCTGTTCACTTTCTTCACGGCCCCCATTTGCACTTCCATGTCGGCCAGATTTCGCACCACCCAGTTGAGGTAGTTGGTGATCTATGAAGTAAAAGGAAAAAGGGGCGAGATGAAAAGAGGGGCAGTTGGGAAGGGACAGAATCTCAACGTGATTGGAACCAATGGGAATAAATGATATCTTTTTCTCCATGAAGATATTATTCCTTTGAGAGAAGGTGTACGGTGATCATTGTATGGTTGGGAAACCATCAACCATGGTTTTAGAATGTTGTTCGACCATCTACAATGCATCCTAGGAAGGGAAATGAAGGGAAGGGGAAAGGAGGAAAGAAAGAGAAGAAGGGAGGAAAGAAAGAAAAAGGGAAGAGAGGGAAGAAAGGGAAGAAGGGAGGGATGAAAGAAAAAAGGGAGGGAAGAGGAGAGGAGAGGAGAGGAGAGGAGAGGAGAGGAGAAGAGAAGAGAAGAGAAGAAGAGAGGAAAGAAAAAGGGAAGAAAAGGCAACGAGAAGGGACAGGAAGGAGGGAAGAGGAGAGGAAGGGGAGAGGGGAGGGAGAGGAGAAAAGAAAGAGAAGAAGGGAAGGAAAAGAAAACAAGAAGTGAGGAAAGAAAGGGAAGGGAAGGGAAGGGAAGGGAAGGGAAGGGAAGGAAAGGAAAGGAAAGGAAAGGAAAGGAAAGGAAAGGAAAAGGAAAGGAAAGAAAGGAAAAAAGGAAATTGACAAGCTGTGAATTTGGGAAAGTTAAACCCTGGTGACGAATCATTATTCAATCTACTCTAGTCCTTGCATGCACTTTTCTCTTCCTGTCCTTGGGAGCATGGAGGGCCTGGGAATTTCAGTGACTTTATTATTATTATCATCCTCCTCCTTTTTTCAATTGGCTCACATAAACCTGAAGCTGCTCCAAGTTGTTCTGAACTCTTTCAGCCCTGGCTGAAATCCAGGACGGCAAGATTGTTTCTTTCAGTATTGGGAACCTTGAGAAGCAACTGCATATCCAGAGGGCTTCGGCTGGGGGCTGTGACCCTGAGGAACTGGTTGCAAAGAAAATAACTCCGCTGTGTCAAAACTAAATGATCCTGAATCTTGCAGGGCTCTTATTGTTGTGGTCCACCAGCAGCCTGCGGAGCTGGCAGCGGAATCAGACAGTGAGGAGGCTGGGGAGGACAATGAGCCAGTCCTGGAGTCTGGGGAAGGCCCTGGTGAGGGCTCTGTGTTGGAGGCAGAGATGGGGCCAGGGCCATCTGGGAGTGATGTGTGGACTCCGGAGCCTCCAGAGTCGGACAGCAGAGAGGCAGAGGAACAGGAGGAGCCTGTTCCTAGTACACACATGAGAAGAGCTGCCAGAAGGCAAGAGCAGCTAAAGCAAAAGGGACAACTCGGGAGTAAGGCCAGGAGATGATTGGCCCCTCCCATAAGGCTTAAAAGAGCAGCAACGGCTCTTGGGCTTTTCGTAGGAAAGCAACGTTGCTACGGCATCTCTTGTTTCTCAACTTCCTGGTGCTTTGCCAAGAAAGGCCTTTGGCAGGGTGCCAAAGAAGATAAAAGATTGTGATAAAGCCGAAAGACTTTTTCTGAAGGACTTTGTTTTGGAATTAATTTGGGCTAAGCTGAGAATGAAGTAATTCTCAGCTGTTCTAATAAAATATGTTTGTTTAGGACTGATTGTGTCTGGTAATAACTACCTGGGCCTAGGTCACAACACTTACTGTATATGTTTTGATGCTGGTTACATAATGGACCTTCCTAGCATAAAACGCCAGGGAAATTCCCCTTTTTCCCTCTCTACGTACCGTCAGTGCATAGAGGAGACCCAGGCCTACGAGGCCAGAAGTGGATTTTTCAGAGATGGAGGCCACGGCTGCAGTAAGGACGACGAAGGCTCCCACATAATCCTGAAAGAAGAGAGAGACAGGAAGAGAAACTATTTATACTGCGAAGCTAAGCTGAGCAAACATTAAAAGCCCCCATCAGTCCAATGTGCTACACTCCGGTCCGCATGGATATTTTTCTTTGCCTTGCTAGGCAACAGCTTGGCCTTCTTCTCAATGCAGATGCTACCAAAAGGAGAAAGCACTACCAAACACAAGGGTGCTTCCTTTCCCATAAGGCGAACTTTTTCGGCACCAAGTGCTAAAATGGGAGCGTGTGCACGATGAAGCACCAGAAACTGGAAGAACAGCTCCCCAGTGTGCATGCGTACGCCGAGGAGTTGAGCTTCTGGTTTCCGGCATGCGCATGTGCGCCTGTCACCTGGACTTCCATTTTCTGGTGCACATGTGTGCATGAAGACCAGCCAGCTGGCGCGCACGTGCACGATGCAAACCGGAAGCTCAGCTTCCCAACACGCGCATGCACGCCAGGGAGCTGCTCTTCCAGTTTCAGGTGCTCCCGTGCGCACGAAGACCAGCTGGCTGGCACACATGTGCATGTGCACACCGAACCCGAAGAAGAGCAATGGGTGATGGCTGGCATGCCCGAAGAATGGCTCTGCGTGCCACTTCCGGCATGCGTGCCATAGGTTCACCATCACCATAAGGGGATCTGTAGTTGCTTTGCTGTCACCAATCACCCCTTCTTTGTTATGCTGGAATTCTATGGAGGTTCTCAATCATCCTCAATCATCTCAAAAGATCCAGATCTATAGAGCCTGAGTCCTCAGCACACTCTTGTACTGCAGTGAGTCTTGGACCCTCTACGCACGGCAGGAGAGAAAGTTGAAGCACCTTTCATATGCGCTGTCTCCGACGAATTCTTGGTATCACCTGGCAGGACAAAGTTCCAAATAGCGCAAGTCTTGGAACGTGCTGGAATTTCTAGCATGTATACACTATTGAAACAGCGACGTCTACGCTGGCTGGGGCATGTGGTGAGAATGGCCGATGGTCGGATTCCGAAAGATCTCCTGTATGGAGAATTAGTGCAGGGAAAGCGCCTCAGAGGGAGACCACAGCTGCGATATAAGGATATCTGCAAGAGGGACCTAAAGGCCCTGGGAATGGACATTAACAACTGGGAAACCTTGACCTCCGATCGTTCAGCTTGGAGGCTAAAGACGCAGCATGGCCTTCTCCAATTCAAAGAGACACTTGTTCGGCAGGCTGAGGCAAAGAGGCAGTCCTGGAAACCAGGGAAATCTGGGGGCTGGGCAGGGGACAGAATGTATCTGCCCTCAGTGTGGAAGGGATTGCCACTCTCGAATTGGCCTTTTTTTTAGTCACACCAGATGCTGTTTTAGGACCTCTTTCCAGAGCACGACACCATAGTCTCTTGAGACTGAAGGATGCCAATGATGATCTCAATCATCCAGGTCTTGGTTGCCTCAAAGGTGGTTTTCCAAAAGGAAACTGGATTTTGCTGCTTTTTTTCAATCCATCCATCCATCCATCCATCCATCCATCCATCCATCCATCCATCCATCCATCGGAATAGAGCTGGAAGCTCTGTTGGAGGACTTTTAGACCCTATTCCATTTCAGACAAGGGACTGTCCAGTCTCTTCTTTAAAAACCTCCAGTGTTGAAGCACCCACAACTCCTGAAGTCAAGATGTTCCACTGGTTAATTGTCGTCACTGTTAGGAAGTTTCTCCTTAGTTCCAAGTTTCTTCTCTCCTTGATAAGTTTTCCACTCATTGTTTCTTGTCCACATTTCACTTCTCATCCGAGAAGTGAACTGAAGAAGCTTCTTGGATGAGAAGTAAAGCATTTTCAAGAAAAACAAAACAAAACAAGAGAGCACCTTTGGGACAATTTTGGGAAAAGCGCCTTTGGGACAATTCTCTGCAACCCTTCATGCAAGATTTCAGAGGGCCTGACAGTATTTTGACCTAGCTTCCCAGCTATTCATGCATGGCCTACTTGGATTGGCATCTTTCCTCTGAGGGTCTCAAGCAGGAGACTGCTGCTCAAAATCATTTAAATCTATCCCAGCTGCGGTGGCCTAGAGGTGGAGCTCTTGCCTCACAATCAGGGGGTAGTGAGTTTGATTCTAGGTAGAGGCAGATGTAGCGTCTCCTGCTTGGGCAGGGGGTTGGACTAGATGACCTGCAAGGTCCCTTCCAACTCTGTTAATCTGTTGATCCACTCCTGGGCCAGAAGGAATCCAGGTTTGGGAGATCATAGAATTGTAGCAGTGGAAGCGACTTGGAGTCTTCAACTCCAACCTCCTGCCCATGGCAGGAAACCTACATTCATCCTGGACAAATGATTGTCCAATCTTTTCTTGAAAACCTCCAGTGATGAAGCATCCACAACTCTGGGAGGCAATCTGTTCTGTTGATGAACTGTTCTCACCATCAGGAAATTACTGCTTATTTCCAGGCTGGATCTGTTTCTTACGAGCTTCCATCCATTCCTTCTTAGGGACAAGGGACTGTCTGATAAGGAGATAGTAACTGTCTTGTGTCTGAAATGGTGCACGTTGTTTTATTCACAGAGATTTATTCCAAATAATAATACGTTTAGCATATATGAACTGGGTCACCAAAAAAAAAAACACACACACACACACACACACAAGGAAGTATTCCTTCAGATATTATAAACAAATATGGAAGGTATTTGTAAACATTAATTTGAAACAGGAAGTAAGTCCTGTGAACCAGTATTTAAGAGAAGAATCTTGGGTCATCGACAGCCAGAGGGATTCCACTTGAAAATAATGTCTATTCATTGAGGCAAATTCATTCTAGGGTTTCCAGCAGAAGAAGATAGGCAGAACTCGCCAGAATAACAGAGTTGGAAGGGACCTCAGAGATCTTCTAGTCCAACCCTCTCCTCAAGCAGGAGACCCTATACCCATGATGGCGAACCTATGGCATGTGTACCACAGGTGGCATGCTGAGCCATATCTGTGGGCACACGAGCGTTGCCCTAGCTCAGCTCCAGCAAGCACGCGTGCGCCAGCCAGCTGATTTTCGGGCCTTCCGGGCCCATCAGAAGTCAGCAAACGGGCTGTTTCCAGCCTCTGGAGGGCCTCCAAGGGAGTGAGGAGGGCTGTTTTCTCCCTCCCCAGGCTCCTAGAAAGCCTCTGGAGCCTGGGGAGGGTGAAAAATGGGCCTTCCGGTCCCACTGGAAGTCTGGAAACGGGCTGTTTCTGGCTTCTGGGGGTGGGAGGCCAGTTTTGCCCTCCCCAGGTTCCAAGAAAACCTCTGGAGCCTGGGGAGGGCAAAAAAGGGCTACCGGGCCCACCATGCCATCATAACAGGAGTGCAGGGGGGGTCGCACACGGAGGGCGGGGCACATTGAATTATGGGTGTGAGCATGCACACGTGCGACCCCCCCCCCGCGTTCCCCCTACTTTTGGCACATGACAGCAAAAAGGTTAGCCATCACTCCCTATACCACCTCAGACAAATGGTTGTCCAATCTTGTCTTAAAAACCTCCAGTGATGAAGCACCCTCTAATACAGCAATATGCTACATTTTACTGCAAAGTCAAGTTTCAATCTCAAAACAAAGCCAAGCAAATGAAATCATTATAATTTTATTTGGGAAATTTACAGTGGAACGTATGGGCCTCAAATGTGCAAAGAAACCTATATAGTTTCTTCCAGGATGATGATCTAATCAAACAATTTTTTTTAAAAACGGCTTAATTCAGAATCAAACAGAATCAGAAGAGTGAAGTCCATAAACTCATAATGAATAATTTTTCAGATTTTCTCATTAATGTTATGTTTTATATTCCACAAGTATAAGGTAAAGGTAAAGGTTCCCCTCACACATATGTGCTAGTTGTTCCTAACTCTAGGGGGCAGTACTCATCTCCGTTTCAAAGCCGAAGAGCCGGCGCTGTCCGAGACGTCTCCGTGGTCATGTGGCGGCATGACTCAACGCCAAAGGCGCACAGAACGCTGTTACCTTCCCACCAAAAGTGGTCCCTATTTTTCTACTTGCATTTTTTACCTGCTTTCAAACTGCTAGGTTGGCAGAAGCTGGGACAAGTCTCGGGAGCCCATCCCATTACGCGGCACTAGGGATTCGAACCGCTGAACTGCCGACCTTTGATTGACAAGCTCAGAGTCTTAGCCATTGAGCCAACGCGTCCCATTATCCACAAGTATAACTAATGCTTAAACCTGGTGATCCTATAAGAAGGTCCAGGGACAAAGAAATACAGGTAGTCCTCAACCTTCAATCACAGTTGAGTCCAAAATTTTTGTGGCTGAGACATTTCTTAAGTGAATTTTGACCTATTTTATGACCTTTTTTGCCGCATTTGTTAAGTGAATCACTGCAGCCGTTAAGTTAATAACACCGTCGTTAAGTGAATCTGGCTTTCCCCGTCGACTTTGTTTGTCAGATGGTCACAAAAGGTGATCACATGACCCTGGGACACTGTAACCATCTGAATTGGCAAGCATCTGAATTTTGATCACATGACCACAGAGATGTTGCAATGGGCATAAGTGTGAAAAACAGCTACATTTTTCAACAGTCACTAAACGAACTGTTGTTAATCAAGGACTACTGCAGGGGCCAAATGCACAGGCGGCTTAAGAGAAATGATATAATCTCTGTGACTTGACAGCTCAGGAGAAAGGATTAAGAGATCTACTCAGCATCTCCTCTGCATCTCAGTTCTCTAACAGTAGCAAACTTTATTTTCTCCACAAAGAAAAGGGGGTAGGAAATCAGTGGTGAAATCCAATTTTTTTTACTACCGGTTCTGTGGGCGTGGCTTGGTGGGCGTGGTTGGTGGGCATGACAGGGGAAGGATACTGCAAAATCTCCATTCCCTCCCCACTCCTGGGAGAAGGATATTGCAAAATCTCCATTCCCACCCCATTCTGGTACAAGCCAGAGGTGGTATTTGCCAGTTCTCCGAACTGCTCAAAATTTCTGCTACCGGTTCTCCAGAACCTGTGAGAACCTGCTGGATTTCACCCCTGTAGGAAACCCTAACAGAAACTACAATAATCCATTCTGGTGTTTTTGGTTTTTTTTTTCGTTTTTTGTTTTGCCAGATGTAGCCCAATGAGAAATCTTTGCCTGGCCAATGAAGCAACTGCTGGATTCAAAGATGTCCAAATTATGACAGCGATGAAATTATACGTACCGTCCTAACCTCCAGCCATCTGTTGGCAGCAGAGAGGAACAAATACGCGATATTGTTGGTGTCCGTCAGTTCCAGCATCCGTTGTTTAAACCTGGGCTCGTGCCTGCAAAGGGGAAAACCATCCTGACGTTATATGTGACTCAAATCGTCTACAATAGGCAGAAAAGATTGCGGAATGCCAGGATGGGGAAATGGAGCAGTGGCTGAGCTGCTGAAAAACTAAAGTTGAGCAAACGTGTGTCTAAGAAGTTGCCAAGAAGAGTTTTTACGAAGCAAGCAGTGATGCTGTACAATGTACAATATTGTTGTTTTTCTTATATCTCCCCATTAGTTATCCTCTACTGCTTCCTTCTCATCCTCCATAATTCAATTTCCAATCAGATCAAATATAACAGAATAACAGAGTTGGAAGGAACCTTGGAAGTCTTCTAGTCCAACACCCTGCTAAAGAAGAAGACCCTACACCAGTGATGGGTTCCTCCCGGTTCGGTCCGTTTCGGCCGAGCCGGTAGCGGTGACGATATGACGTCACCGAACCGGTTCTTCCCCCCCTGCCCTCCCACCCCCCCCACCCCCCCACGTTATTCTTACCTTTTATTTGGTCCCACCCCCAATCTATTGCTGCCCCTGAGTCCCAGCTGATGACTAGAGGGAAAAAAACTGTTTAAACTCTTGCCGCGTGGCTTCAAAGGGCCGCCCTACAGCTGATCAGTGTTAAAAGCAAACAAATGAGTCGGGTTGTAAGTGTGAGGACTGGTCGTAAGTGCGAGGACCTTCCAGAAATGACTCTGACCAGCTAGCCATGCCCACCTAGTCACATGACCTCCAAGCCCACACCCACAAAATAAGCCACGCCCACAGAACCGGTAGTAAAAAAATTTAGAACCCACCCATGACCTTCACCCGTGATGGCAAACCTATGGCAGGCAGAGCCCTCTCTGTGGACACACGCACTGTCGCCAGCTAATCTTCTGGTTTCTGGCCAGCTGGACTTTGTGGGCGCTGGAGTGCCAGAAAACAACCTGAAAAATGGCCTGAAAACAGGCTCAAAAACAACAAAATTTGTTGGGTGTTTTCAATTTGTCTCGGCCAAATTGTTTAATTAGGTTTTTATTCTGTTTTTAAATTTTGTATTTATGTGTTTTATTCTGTGGCTGTTCACCGCCCTGAGTCCTTCGGGAGTAGGGCGGTATATAAAGCCAATAAATGAAAAATGAAAATGAAATGAAAAAACCGGCATGCGTGCGCCGGCCAGCTGGTGTTTGAGTTTCCGGCGCTCCGTCACGCAGATGCACACACACGCATGCGCATTCTGGTTTGGACACTCGGTGCCAAAAAGGTTCGCCATCCCTGCCCTACACCATTTCAGACAAACGGTTGTCCAATCTCTTCTTAAACCCTTGGGGGATGGAGCACCACAATTTCTGGAGGCAAGCTGTTCCACTGATTAATTCTTCTCGCTGTCAGGAAATGTCTCCTTAGTTCTAGGTTGCTTCTCTCCTTGATTAGTTTCTATCCATTGCTTCTTGCCCTACTAAATCTTCAAGTGCTTTGGAAAGATGTTGATTCAGAGGTTCGGTGGGACTTGCTCCTTCGAAATAGAATTTCTCAGATAAATTTGCCCAGAATTAGTGAAAGAGATCCAATCCCACAGCAGGGTTTGGACTCTTTGCTCTCCAGATATGACTGGACTCCATTCCTGTCGTCATTAGCCAGCATGACCAGTGGTCAAAGATGATTAAACATACTGTAATCCAGCAGTATCTGAAAGGCTGCATTACTCCCAGCCTTGCTCTAGAAAGATATTATTTTGTATCTGATTGTCTATCTGAGGTATTTATGAAGCCCAATCCTCACAGTCTTTAAAAGTATACACATTATAAAGTAAAATCATACACAAAATCACTATAAGTCTTTGGGCCTACCCCCTGTCCATCTGGCTGCCCACGCTCACCGGTAACCACTATCTGGTGCCTCCGGCCATTGGGGCTGCACATGGCCGGCTGCCGCGGTAACCACGTGACACCCTATCTGGCAGCAACGGACCATCTTTCCATCAGGAATGGCCCAGCGGGTGGCATGTGGCTGCTGTAGAAGGCCACCGGGACCGATCAGCTGGGTGGCGTGACTGCTATATTCATCCTGAAGGGTATTAGGGGTGTGTTACCCCCACAGTATTTTTTTCCAGAGAGTAAGTCATCTGTGTACCAAGTTTGGTTGAAATTGCTCAAGGCGTTCCAGAGTTATGCTGGAACATACGCACACACACAGCCATTTATATATAATTATAGATTAATAGTGTTGAAGGCAGTGTTGGGATTCAAATAATTTAACAACCGGTTCTCTGCCCAAATGACCAGCTGGGTAGGCATGACTTGGTGGTCATGTGACCGTGTTGATGTGGCCAACTCAACTTCACTCACAATTACAATGTGATAAGGATTAACCAGAGAGGCAGTTTCTGCAGGGCAATAAAGATTAGGCTAGAAATAACACCAGAATGTCTCCTTCCTGCCTTCCTTACAGGATTAGCTCTGTAAAGTGGAATAAAACAAAATAAGATTTCTTCCAACAACCGGTTCTCCTAACTGCTTAGAAAGTTAACAACCGGTTCTCCCAAATAGGTGCGAACTGGCTGAATCCCACTACTGGTTGAAGGTATTGACTCTTCATCATCTTATGACCTACGGACCATAAGGGGGCAGTAAGGTGTAGACAGAGAATTAAGATTTACTTTGATCTCTTCTATCACTCTGCCTGGTTTTTGTCTAGGAGGATGCTAATCAGAGGTCACTTCCTTCTGGCTTTCTTCCCAGGCACACTCACATAGAACTTTTACTGGTTGACATTTCCACATGATTGGGATTACCAGAACATATTTAAACTCTAACAAATACAGTACAACATTCCAATACAGGGTCATGAAAGTTTACACTTGATGGATCCCATCAATGATCTCATGCACTGACTTAGGCATGTCCTCATTAAAAAAACACAATGTCCCAAATCTCACAACTTCATCAAGCATCTCAAGACATGCTTGCATGACATTCTGAAGGGTTGCAGTGTGTGTGGGGAAAATGCTGCATCTTCATGTGAACTCTTACAAGATATCAGGGGTTTCCCGTGTGATTTCATAATACGTTACTCTTCTTCGCAAAGGAAAAACCGAACCTTATTTATCTCACACAATTGTGATTAATAGGTTTATATTACTATGTGGCTGGAGTTCACACGTTAGGCTTAACTCTGAATCCAGGTTAATTCCTGTGTTCATATAACCTTGAATGCCCAAACAGGCAGACTCTATTATAGCTTGTTGTGATGGCCTGATCCAACCTATATATACAAGCCAAAAACTAAATTCCAACAAAATACAGAAGCCAGGAAATCTACTTCCATTTTTGTATTGTCTAAGATGTTGTATGAACTCAGCTTGTTTGTTACCAGAGGACACCGATGTGCAAAGAACGGCACATGCAAAACACTGTAGCATAAATATCCCTTCCTACACACCATGAAAAACCGGAATGCATTATTCCAATAACATGATAATAACTACAGTCTGTCTCTGGCCTCTCTGGCATCTGCACGTTTTCCCCTTCCTTTCTACCCCTCCTCTCCCTCTATGGAAACTCTGACACACACAATCTGCATCATGTCATCTCCATCGTGCTCTTCTGCTTATTATTACTACACTTTTCAACCCGTCCAAATGACAATTACAAAGGTCACCTTCGAAGAGGCCTGAGCTGTTCGGAGGTTGCCTTGTGATGGGAATGCATGCCTTCTGGATGCGTACTTAATGAACTCAGAACAAAGGGAAATAATTACCAGTTTTCATCCAGTAAAGCTTAGCTTTCTAATAAAACTCCGAATAGAAAGAACATTGGCTTAACTGCTGCAAAGATGAGGAGAGGGGAATGAAACTAAGAGAATAACAAGAGTTGGAAGGGATCTTGGAGGTCTTCTAATCCAATCCCCTGTTCAGGCAGGAAACCTAATACCAATTCAGACAAACGGTTGTCCAATCTCTTCTTAAAAGCCTCCAGTGATGGAGCATCCACAATTTCTGGAGACAAGATGTTCCACTGATTAATTGTTCTAACTGTCAGGAAATGTCTCCTTAGTTCTAGTTTGGTTGTCTCCTTGATTATTTTCCATCCATCGCTTCTTCTCCTGTCTTCAGGTGCTTTGGAGAATAGGTTGACCCCTTCTTCATTGTGGGCAGCCCCTTAGATAACACTGTTATCATATCTAGTCCTTCTTTTCATTAAATCAGACATTTTGGTTCACTTCTATTTTTAGCTTTTGTTCTTTCTCCTCTTTAGCCTGACCACAGATTTTTGTTGTGGTTGTTGTCCTCAACGCTACAGGAGCAAATGAGGGTCATTCCATGTACAACTGGATCTGATTAAGGGTCTTTTCCCATTACTCAGTTGAAGTGCTCTTCACTTACGTTGAACTGGCAGTCAACTACATTGGCAAGAGATTTGATGCCTCCATTGCTGGATCCCCATCTTGACTTTCCGTATTTTTTGCACTTTTTTGTCTCCCAAAAGGGGGTGAAAATGTCTGTGCGTCTTATAGACCGCCCCCCACCAGCTGTTTTTTGTCCTCTGCATGCCATGTTTTTGGGCATTTTTTCAGCTTTTTCCAGGCCATTTTTCAGCCTGTTTTTGGGGCTTTTTTCAGCCCATTTTCTAGGCTTTTTTGGTCCATTTTGGGGGCTTTTTTTGGCCTGTTTTTGAGGCTTTTTTTTAAAAAAAAATGGGCTGAAGAAAATCTTGAAAACGGGCCAAAAGAAGGCTGGAAAAGGGCCGAAAAAAGGCCCGGAAATGGGACGCGCGGAGGCCAAAAACTTTTTTTGGGTTGATTTCCTCTTCTAAATTTAGGTGCATCTTATAGTCCAAAAAATACGGTAATTGCCTCTGCTTCCAGTCAGTGCCATAACAATCCCTCCAGAAGAACGAGTGACAAAACAGATTTGATCCAATCTGGGTCAGTCATCGGAAGCAGAGGTTTAGTCTTCCGAGCTTTCTGGAGCCCATCCTCAGAGAACTTCTCTCTCACCAGAATGTGATAACGGAGAAGTTCGGTGACCGACCCAGATTGGATCCTGAAGCATTATCCTGGGACAGGTGTAGTTGCTTTCAAAACGGATTCGACACACCTTTTTGAGTCTGCCTTGATGTGGTGTTGGAATGAGGGAGGAAATTCTACATCGGGGGGGGGGGGGAATGATGGCTCCTTTTACGACCTGTGGACTTCGACTCCCAGAATTCCTGGGCCATGGCTCCTAGGAATTCTGGGAGTCGACATCCACAGGTCGTAAAGGAGCCATCGTTCCCCACCCCTGCTCTAAATGAACACCACTAGAGCTAAGGATGACTTAAGGCTATCTCACTCAAGGTCCCCAAATGAGAGAAGGACAATTTCATAAGGATGTGTCGAAAACAAGGATGGTGTATTTTGCTGAGGGTAGGTGGAAGGAGAAAATGGCTCAAAATGGCTTCTTATTTGCAAACCTGAATGCTCGGATGGTCGTGAGGCCTTCTGCAGTCTCGGAAAAGTGGCAAAGAAGAGGCAACTGAGTGCTGTCATCAAGTTCCTGGAGATCCCTGTTACCAAGAGAAAGGAGGTGAGCCAAGAAGAAGCCATATTTCAGCATCTAGTAAACAAAGACCTTGTTTTCCTTATTTAAACGATTGAATCACTTGCTCTCCCTAAACAAAAATGTGACAGTCTTTTATGGTTGTTATGCATGGGCACATTCCCTGGGGAGGCCGTTTTCGCCTTCCCGGAGCCTCAAGGAAAGCCTCCAGTGCCTGGGGAGGGCAAAAATCTGCCATGGTGCAGGAGGCCAACTAGGCCACACCCACCATGGCCATGGCCACACCCACCCAGCAACCGGGCAGAGAACCCCTTGCTAAAATTTTTGAAGCCCACCCCTGCTTAGAAGTTATCCATTGGAAGCCACCTACCAAAAGGAGCTTAAGACATCAACAGTGAAGGAAGTCCCCCATTTTGTTTCAGAAAGTTTCTCTTGTTTTTCTCTTTCTGATGCTCATTTATTTTTGTTTTATTTATTTATATCCCGCCTTTATTTTTATTTTTTTAAAAAATAAATAACTCAAGCAGCAAACCTACCTAATACTTTTTCCTTCTCCTATTTTCTCCATAACATCAATCCTGTGACTTGAATTGGGCTGAGAGAAAGCGACTGGCCCAATGTTGCCAGTTGGCTTTCATGGCTAAGGCAGAACTAGAACTCACAATCTCCTGGTGATTGGCCCACAGTCACCCAGCTGCTCACAATCTCCTGTGATTCCCAATCACTCACCCATCTCCACCTTGCCCAGCTTTCATGGCTAAGGGGGGAACTCACAATCCCCCTCTGCTTGGCCCACAGTCCCCCCAGCTGGCTTTCATGGCTAAGGCTCACTAAATTCACAATCCCCCCCCAGTGCACCCAGCTGTCTATTAGCTGGCTAATCTACTGACTAAAACCCACAAGGCGGGACTAGAACTCACAATCTCCTGGTGATTGGCCCACAGTCATCCAGCCAGCTTTCATGCCTAAAGCAGGACTAGAACTCACAGTCTCCTGGTTTTTAACCTAATGTCTTATCCACTGGATTCTTTTTCTTCCTTGTCTTTTACTCTCCTTTTTTTCTTCCCCTGCTTCCTTGCAAATCAAACAAGGATTGAATGCTGCCACCAAAGGTTTAAATTATTTGGACAAAGCCACTTTTTAAAAAATTAGCCTTGTATGGGATTACAATTCGCCTTGAACACGCAGCTTTATGACTGCACAATGCCCCATCCTGCCAAAAACGCTTCCCCTGCTGGCGATAACAAACCTCAAAATTCTAACGTCATCCATTAATTAAATATTTTCTATCTTTTTTTAAAAAGAGGGAGAGAGAAGTGAAAAACTTACTTAGATGCCACTCTGAAGTATTTCTGGATGAAATAAAATGCCACTGCAAGAGGCAGGAGAGCAAGTAGGAAGTAGCGGGTGGCATATGAAATCATCCCGACAGCAGATAGACAGAGTAATGTTGAACGCGAGAGGGATTCCACAGTCGGTGGAATGTGCTGCAGCAAACATAAGCAATAAATGCGATATCAGACCACAGCCTCTGTAGGGAAAGTGCAGGCAGAGCTGGGTGGTGGGATTAAACATGTTATCAGCTTAGAATCTTTACGTCGCCACAAATGATTCAAGTCCAGTCTCTCCTTGAATTCCATTGACTTCATCTGGCGCCAATTTAGTGCTGACTGTTAGTTGACTAGATTCCTGTGTATAGGCTTCTGGGCTGCAGTTTAACGTATGGTCCTGATGCTTTGCGCCTGACATTAATCTAACCAAGTAACAGTCGGCACTAAATTGGCGCTAGAAAAAGGTCAGTGGAACCCAAAAGGGGTTCTACTTGGATCATTTGTGGCAACGTAAAGACTCTAAGCCAAGAGTGTCAAACTTGAGTCGTCACGGCGTCGTCATGTGATGTATCGGGACTTTTTTCATCTTTGCTAAACCGGGCGTGGACGTAGCCAGCATGTGACGCATCCGGGGCGCCATCCGCGAGTTTGACAGCCCTGCTCTAAGCTGATGAGATGCTTAACTCTGCGTCCCAGCTCTGCCTGGCCTTCTCCTACAGCCACCCAGTTACAGCATTTATTTGAAAGAAGGTTCATCTGAAATTTAAGAAGAGCTCCCTCAAAAGGAAGAACAGACAGAGGAACAGTTAAAAACTCATTGAAAAAATCTGTGTAATGCTCAGCTTCCCTACCACGTAAGATGAATCTTTCTCGCACTATGGATCTATGCAGCTTAAATAAAACCTACCTGCTTCTCTAGAAGACAAGATGGGAGGTATTTGTGCATCATGTCCTCTAAAACTGCACCCCAGGCAGGTTCTCATTGGCTAGAAGTCTTGCCGCATACAAGCTGCCAACTCCTTTTCTTCTTAATTAAAATTGCAGGAGGATGGATAACATATACAGGTGATCCTTGCTTCCTGAAGGTAATTGGGACCAGGAACTCTGTTGCTAAGCAACCGCACTTGTAAGACTTGGTGTCCCGTGACTGATCCAACTCACGACAGTACCAGTTCCCATTGTTAGGCGAACCCTGTGCGGTTCATGTGTCCTGCAGTCAAGTGATCGCCATTTTTATTTCCTGCCAGCTTCCCCATTGACTTTGCTGGCTTCCAGCCAGCAGTAAAAGTCACCAATCATGATCCCGTGTCATAACTGCAGGATACCGCAGGGACCACAACTATGAGGACCTGTGTTAAGTTCCCTTTGTAACTGTGAGCAGTTGATGAATGAATGGTTGGTAAGTGAGGGTGTTTTGGCCTGTCGGCCACCGGCCCTTCCAGCAGCCGAATCAGAGGAGGAGCAGGTGTGGGAGTCAGGATCAGCATCAGGCAACCTGAGAGCTCCGAGGGGGAAGAGGAATGGAGCTCTCAGAGAGAGAGAGGTGGAGCATGGGCCGTCCATCAGCCCTCAGATGGAAAGTCAACAGCTCCCAGGTCTGGAGGTAGCTGATGAGGAAGAGGAGGAACAGCTGGGTCCAGTTCCTGACATGTGGATGCACAAAAGGCAGAGGAGAGGAGAGCAGTGGAAATCTGTGGGCTGATCCTTGGGACGGAAGAGCCACCGCTGCTAGTGAAGCCCCACCCTAGCTTTGGGGATAAAAGGCAGGGGGTGGAAATGAATAGATATGGCAGACAACTATTCACCTCCCTGCCAGACAGACTTGTTAACCTGCATTGAGAGAGAAACTTTTTGCCAGGGCTGCTGGCGCTCCTAATAAAGGAATCCTTGATGAATTCAGAGGTTTTGTTGTGTTTGGGGAGCTGGGTCAGAACAGAGGGCTACCTGTTTTGCAGTATGATCAGCATTGCAGTATGATCAGCATTGCATTATGATCAGCATTGTATACCAAGATTGGTATTGTTGTGGCTCGGTCGCCTGAGCCTGGGCTATCGACAGATGCAGACTCGGAGAGTGAGGGAGAGGAGTTGGCAAGGCCTCCCTCTCCAGGACCCTCCTCTCTGGCAATGCCTCCAGAGGACACCGAAGCCCAAAAGATAGGCTCAGAGCCAAGCACGTCCCTGCAGCCACAGGTGGACAGCGACGAAGTAGATAAGTGCTGGCTGGACCCTCGGCAGAGGCGCAGGGAGAAGCATGCACAGCAGAGGGGAAGGCGTGCCAGAGATTAGCTGAGTCACTGGACCACACCCCACAGGGTATAAATGTGGGTGTGGTGGCTGGTTCAGTTTGTGATGAGCAAAAACTAGAAATAATCCATGATCTCTGCGTTACTGGACTTCTACCTGCCTTGTCGGACTGCATTTGGACTAATCCTTGTATTATTGAAACTCTGCCTGCTTTATCGGAATGCTTGCAGTCTAATCTTTGTTTTGTGTGAGTAAAGTCTGAATTGGCAGCTAGCCACTGGGTTGCTGCCAGCTTTATCTTCAAAGATTTTGTCGTGTAGCTTATTAACTCCGGGCCGTCCGTGGGGGTGCGTGTGTGTGACGGGGACAGAACAGGTATACAATTCCAACCAGACATGAAACCTGTAAAATGGTTACTAATCCCATTTCACATATGGAAAACCTGTCTAGACCAGAGTTCCCCAACCTTTTCGGCTTTGCGACTGGGGAGGGAGGGAAGAGGGGATGGTTCCACAGAGGGGGGGAAACGTGTGTGCCCAGCTCCATTTGAGTGAGCATCCACCACTTCCACGAGCCAGTTCGGAAAGGCCCAAGGTCCGGTAGTGGACTACAGCTTGGAGGATATGGACCCCCTGATCTAGACATATATAAAATATCCATTTTCCAACTCATAGCATGCAACAAATCAAGGTGCTCACCTGATCAATAATGTTTGTATCAGCAGAAAAACGGTTCAGAATTAGCCCCAAAGGTGTCATATCGAAGAATCTGTAAAGGGGGCAGGAATAGTAAAAGGTTATCCGGTATAGAAAGAATGTTCCCAGTTATTTTATTTTATCCATAATAAATAAATTTTGTTTCATTTCCCTATCTTGCACTAAATTACGTGAGTTGCCATCTTTCCAAAATTGAACAATAAAACCAATCTTCCCCTTTGATGACATCATCTAGGCAAAAATTTCCCTTCCCTCTCTGAAGTGAAGGGGACATGGACAATGCAACACAACAAGGCCTTTTCTGGGGTGGCCCCCACATTTTGGGACATTTGATTTGCAAAGTTGTTTACAAAGTTCCGTCCTTCGGGACATTGAGAAGACTACCAAAGTTGGTTTTATTCACCTTGCAGATGGTATTGTTTTCCTAAAACCATAAGTAAATTATAGTTACAACTGCAGTAGCATAGAAATTTAATAAAATACGATAGATAGATAGATAGATAGATAGATAGATAGATAGATAGATAGATAGATAGATAGATAGATAGATAGGCAGGCAGGCAGGCAGGCAGGCAGGCAGGCAGGCAGGCAGGCAGGCAGATATTATTTATTAAATTTAAATCCATGGTGATTTTGGGCAAGTGGGTAGATGGGTAGATGGACGGATGGACCAAATCATACTTCTTTCCTTTGGAGTTTACCAAAATCCAGTTACTTGAAGTGCTTCAATCTTCTCCACTAATCTACCAAATACTATTCTCAGCAATGATCAGATGTTTGAAGTCTATTGTCAACTCGCAAAGCATCCCTAGCCTGCTCTCGAGTTGCCATAGACAAGGGGGATGGGAAACCGATGAAGCAACATGGCAGCCACAGACAGGAGCTCATTCCAGACATATCTTTCTCAAGGCTGTCTCCCAGAGTTACCGACAATGGTCAGAGGGGAGTAGTCTCTACAACCCGCGAAATTGCTCCTTGGGCAAATCTGATTGATGACACACCCTGGGGGGAGGGGGAGAAACAGGGTCATGATTAGGGCCATAAATTACATGGGGTCAGAGTTGGCTACACCTGGAACGTGCAGATATGGAGCTCCTAATAAATAACTGGATTTCTTTTGAAGCTTGGCTCGAGGCTCATGATTTAATTAGGGCATCCATTGGAACCCTGACATCTATCCCTTAAAGACCCAACCCCTGGCCACTAGATACTACCTCTTTGCTCCAGGGTTCTCCCACTCAAGTTCTGGACACTCATAAGATCTATTAAGTGGCTCGTTCTATCTACCAAAAGGAACATGATAATTTCTGTACCTGATGGGTCCAAGGATGATCTTGTTGAGCAGATCGTGGTAAAGGTTCTTAGCAGCAGTGAGGCCCATCCATTCAACGGTCAAAGACGTGACAAGGCAAAGTACAATGCCTGCCCCACTAAGAATGCTGAACACTGCAACATGGCACGTCTGTTCCAAAACAAGGGTACAATTCAAATAAATCCTGGGGAAAGATTACTATTTCTTTTCATTGTTTTGAAACATCCCATAAACATATAGTAGTGGCCAAAATTGTGGAAAATGTATTTTTGAGGTTTGATGGCTAATAACACCACTTTTCAATAAAGGTTTGATATAATAACACCACAGTTTCAAGATAATCCTATTCCACTGCTGGAATGGCTTGGGAATAGCCCAGATCTTAAGCCAGTTGAAAATCTATGGAGCAGACAGATGGTGGGTTTCAAAAATTTTTACAACCGGTTCTGTGGGCATGGCTTGGTGGGCGTGGCATGGCTTGATGGGCGTGGCTTGGTAGGTGTGGCAGGGGAAGGATGCTGTAAAATCTCCATTCCCTCCCGAATCCAGGGGAAGGTTACTGCAAAATCCCCATTTCCTCCCGATCAGCTGGGACTCGGGAGGCAGAGAATAGATGGGGGTGAGGCCAGTCAGAATTTTTACTACCGGTTCTCCGAACTACTCAAAATTTCCGCTACCGGTTCTCCAGAACTGGTCAGAACCTGCTGAAACCCAGCTCTGTAACAGACTAAAGAAACTTGTTAGTCAGAAGTGACCCAGTTAATCGAAGCAATCATTCAATCTTGGTTTCACATTAGAACAGCTGCAGAACTAGAAGACTTGGTTCATTCCATGGGAAGACTTTATAAGGCTGTAATTCATGCTAAAGGTTACCCAACTAAGTATTAACTGACGTGGTGATAATTTTTGCATATCTCGTTTTTTCTATGGTGATCATTTTTGTGTATCTCATTTTTTTTCTACGTGTTTCACTTTTCTTCTTTATCCTGTAACTGCTGTTCTAATAGCAAATCCTTCATAAAAGTTATTGCATTACATTCTTGATTAAATTATCTTTCTATTGATATATAATTTTATGGTACTACTCCCACAAAAAAGTGGGATTATTAGCCAGTTTTAGAAAATACACTTTTCCCAAAAGGTTACCACAACTTTGGCCACTAGTATAGCCAGATTATCTGGTGAATAACTTTTGTACCGCATACACTTAATGACCCAAGTTAATTGGGTTTTATAGTTCTTTAAAAGAAAAATGAAAGTTTCCATTTTTACATGGAATGTAAAATGGAATTGTGACATACAACTAAACTATAAGGACCAAGGCTCATAGAATTATACTACTGTAATGGGTAATTAGGAACATCAATTCAAACCAGGGGTGGGTTCTAATTTTTTTTACTACCGGTTCTGTGGGCGTGGCTTATTTTGTGGGCATGGTTTGATGGTCATGTGACAATTTTTTAGGATTTAGTAGAGGTACTGGTCTACCAGGCTTTTAACTGCTTGCAGAGCTGTACCGGTCTACCCATTTGTTTTTGGAGGCACCGGTCTACTCATTTGTTTTTCGAGCGCACTGGTCTACCACCACACTGCCTTTTAACACTGATCAGCTGTAGGGCAGCCGTTTGAAGCCCCGCGGCAAGAGTTTAAGCAGTTTTTTTCCTTCTAGCTGATCAGCTGGGACTCGGGAGGCAGCGAATAGATTGGGGGTGGGGCCAAATAAAAGGTAAGAATAACATGGGGGCCGGCAGGAGGGCCCAGCTCCCAAACAAAGAGAACCGGTTCAGTGACGTCATATCGTCACTGCTACCGGCTCAGCCGAACCGGGCTGAACCGAGAGGAACCCACCACTGATTCAAACCCCTTGTGTGATGGAATGTGCACTTGTAGTAGTAGAGGAGGAGGGAGATTTGATCAACTCAGAACTTTCCTAGAAAGAGATGTGGATCATGAGATGGCAGAGAAGGAGGGAAGTGCTTCTGTAGGAGAAAGAGGTGGCAGAATCTGGGGGAGGAGTTAAAAGAGGGATCAGTCTAGAATCCCTACGTAGTCATAAGTGGACTAGGTCCAACCCCTTTGAACTCCATGGATCCTCATCTAACTTCAAGCAGGTGCTTTCCTTAGTTGAGAAGATTCTTGTACAGAGGAGTTTTAGCAATAAATCAGTTGAATTGGACCTTCACGTGCGGATCTGATCTTTTACCCTTGACCGTTTCCAGGTGATTATACCTTGGCTTAGCAACTCTCAGGATATAGCTAGTAAAGTTATAGTGTCAGTTTGGCAGGATTCTGTCCATTAGGTGTAAGTAAATAAAGGCTTGAACTTGATTGGATTTTACTGTCTCATCACTGGGTTTCGGCCTGCCCGACCCCTGATTTATGAAGAAATCAGAATTTAAAAATCCCATAAAAAGAGCCTTGGTACTACAGTGGTTTAAAGCACCCTGTTATTAACACAGCTGCCTGCAATTTACTGCTGGTTCGAATCTCTCCAAGGCTCAAGGTTGACTCAGCCTTCCATCCTTTCTAAGGTAGGTTAAATGAGGACCCAGTTTGTGGGGGCAATAAGCTGACTTTGTATAAATATACAAAAGTATGAAGGCTATTGCTGAATGCACTGTAAGCCGCCCTGAGTCTCCGGAGAAGGGTGGCATATAAATCAAATTAAAAAAAATATATATATATATGAATGAATGAATGAGTGAGTGAGTGAGTGAGTGAGTGAATGAATGAATTTGAATTGTATTTGCTGTGATCTGAGAAACCCCGAACGAATCCAATATCTCAGGGGCTGCCACAAAGAAGAGGGAGTCAAGCTTTTCTCCAAAGAACTTGAACTCAGAACAAGAAGCAATGGGTGGAAACTAATCAAGGAGAGAAGCAATCTAGAACTAAGAAGAAACTTCCTGACAGTGAGAACAATTAATCAGTAGAACGACTTGCCTCCAGAAGTTGTGGATGCTTCAACACTGGAAGTTTTTAAGAAGCGATTAGACAAATGTTTATCTGAAATGGTATAGAGTTTCCTGTCTGAGCAGGGGGTTGGACTAGAAGATCTCCAAGGTCCCTTTCCAACTCTTGTTATTATGTTAGTCTGTAACATGATTCTTCTCCAAGACTTCCTGAATTCTACCTTTCTGGTGACTGCTTTACAGGAGAATTTTTTTCTTTTTAACAAGCTTCTCCTCTGGTAATGTACTGCAAACTAGGGCATACAAAACCTTTGCTGGACCAGTTCTCGAATACAGCTCATTTGCCTGGAACCCGCACTGTATATCAGACATTAATACAATTGAGCGAGTCCAGAGATATTTCACGAGAAGAGTCCTTCACTCCTCTGCTCACAACAGAATCCCTTATGCCACCAGGCTTGAAATTTTGGAATTAGACAATTTAGAACTATGCCACCTTCGGTCTGACCTAAGCATAGTACACAAAATTATCTGCTACAACGTCCTACCTGTCAATGACTACTTCAGTTTCAACCACAATAATACACAAGCACACAATAGATACAAACTTAAGGTAAACCGCTCCAAACTTGATTGCAGAAACTATGACTTCAGCAACAGAGTGGTCAATGCCTGGAATGCACTACCTGACTCTGTGGTTACTTCCCCAAACGGCCATAACTTTAACCTTAGACCAGGGATCAGCAACCCGCGGCTCTGGAGCCGCATGTGGCTCTTTCATCCCTCTGCTGCGGCTCCCTGTTACCGGTCAGCTCCACAATTGATAGGGCTTTCGTTTAGGACAGGTAGAGGAAAAAGGACGCCTCGCTAGGAGGAGACTCTATGGTGGGGGAATTGGATTTCCAGTCGGCAGAGGAAAAAGGATGCCACACTAGGAGGAGACTCTATGGTGGGGGAACCGGACTTCTGGTCGGATCCAGAACTGAATGGGAGGCTTCTGGTTAGGACCTTTGTGGCTCTTGAGTGTTTAAGGTTGCCAACCCCTGCCTTAGACTGTCTACTGTTGACCTCACCCCATTCCTAAGAGGTCTGTAGGGGGGCATGCATAAGCACCCCAACATGCCTATCATCCCTGTCCTACTGTCCCCCACTTATTTGTAGCCATTCCCTGTGTTTATACTTATATCTGTTATCTTATATGTTTGACAAAATAATAAAATAAAATAAATAAAGTTGCCAAGATTCAGAAACACTGTATTAATTATTTATTCATTATTTATTGGTTCGATTTATATGCCAGCCTTCTCCGGAGACTCAGGGCGGCTTACAATGCGTTAAGCAATAGCCTTCATACTTTTGTATATACCTGCTTAGTAGGGCTTTCGCCCCCGCCCCCAAGCGGTGTTCTATTTTATACAAAGTCAGCTTATTGCCCCCACAAACCGGGTCCTCATTTTACCTACCTCGGAAGGATGGAAGGCTGAGTCAACCTTGAGCCTGGTGAGATTCGAACTTGCAGTAATTGCAGGCAGCTGGTGCTACTTAACAGCACTTTAGTCTGCTGCGCCACCAAGGCTCTTAAAAGTAGTAGAACTGGAGAAGGGATTCCCCTCTTCTATCCTTCATTAAATGCTTTGGCAGCCAAACCAACGAGCTGTGGAGTTTTCTGGCTTGCAAATGCAAACAACTTTGGGATTTTATTTAAGCAGAGCACAGCAGAACATTATTTGCAGAAGTCCAACCACTTTGCAAAAAAAAAAAAAACACCACCCCAAAGCCGTCCTTAGTTCGAGTCCCAGGCCTTGAACTCTCTTTTCAAACCGGGCTAAACAAGACGCTCCAAAGGGGATTTGAAATTCCTGCGATTGGTGAATGAGATCATTAAGGATCCTGAGTTCACTTTCAGAATTCTCTGACTAAGCTGTGAGAAGTTTCCAGGAGCGGACAGAAAAAGATTCCTTGAATCTATACAGAATGTCCCTGTCACGTTTTCTTGACTGCTTTTAGGGGAAAAGTTTATTTATTTATTTGATATTTACAGCCATCCATCTCTGCCAAATGACTCTGGGCAGCTCACAATTAATATGAGGGAGCTATTTAACACGAGCGCTTCTTACAGCTTTTTTTTGGCCACCTGAAGGATTATCCAGAGGTATTTATTAACCGAGGAATCGTTTCTAATTTAAACTGAGGAAAGTTTATTCAATACGATTTTCTGCGTTGCTGATGCAGCCGAGACAAGGCTTTGGCTGCGGTCCGCAGAGTTCTAATTCTAAGTTTGCAATTCGTTATGAAACTGACATGAACGAGACTAAATACATGAAAAGGTGACGTTAAGTTTTCAGTAAGTGTTAAATTTGGTAACGTCTACTCGAAGTCACTTCTCGTAACTCCATGGATGTTCCATGTCGTTTCCTTGGCAACAGATGAAGGGATGATTGATTTATATCCCTCCTTTATTATGATTATTTTTTTCAAATAACTCAGGAAGGCAGAGATATCCAACACACTTTCCTCCTCCTTTTTTTCCTCACAGCAAAAACCCTGTGGAGGTGGGTTGGGCTGAGAAAAAGAGAGAAGAGAGAGGAGGGAGGGAGGGAGGGGGGAGGGAGAGAGGGAGGGGAGAGAGGGAGGGAGAGGGAGAGAGGGAGGGAGGGGGAGGGAGGGAGAGAGAGAAAGATAGGGAGGGAGGGAGAGAGAGGGAGGGAGAGGGAAGGGGAGGGGGAGAGAGAGAGGATGGAGGGAGGGAGGGAGAGAGAGGGGAAGGGAGGGAGAGGGGAGGGAGGGAGAGAGAGGGAGGGGAGGGAGAGAGAGAAAGAGAGGGAGGGAGGGAGAGAGGGAGGGAGAGGGAAGGGGAGGGAGAGAGAGATGGAGGGAGGGAGGAGGAGGAGAGGGAGGGAGAGAGGGGGGAGGGGGAGGGAGGGGGGAGAGGGAGTGAGAGAGAGAAAGATAGGGAGGGGAGGGAGAGAGAGGGGAGGGAGAGGGAAGGGGAGGGAGAGAGAGAGATGGAGGGAGGGGAGAGAGGAGGGGAGGGAGTGAGGGAGAGAGGGAGGGGGGGAGGGGGAGAGAGAGAAAGAGAGGGGGGAGGGAGAGAGAGGGGAGGGAGACGGGAAGGGGAGGGAGAGAGAGAGAGATGGGGGAGGGCGGGGAGATAGAGAGGGAGGGAGGGAGAGAGAAGGAGGGAGGGAGGGAGAGGGTGAGGGACGGAGGGCCGGAGGGACGGAGGGGAGGAGAGAGAGAGAGAGAGAGAGAGAGAGAGGGAGAGAGAGGAGAGAGGAGAGAGGAGAGAGAGACAGCCCAAATGGCTATTGATTTTTCTAGGACATTTTTCTGACTTCCAGTTTACATCATTGATCTCTGATGGCCTCCCATCCCAAACAATCAGCTTTGACATGGCCTTATAGCCAGGATGAGATCAGGAGGGTCCTGAGCTTTAAGAAGAAAGTTTGGCGGATGTTTTATTGTAATTTTTATTAAGGAGATCGCTTAATGCCGCAATTTATTTTACTATTATTCCTACTGTTGATTTATCTTGCCCGTCATTGGCTTTTCCTTCATTGGCTTTTGCCTTGTTTTATAATGTAAGACCTGACTTACATCCGTTTGTTTAGTGGCCATTCTAAGTTACAACGGCACTGAAAAAAGGGACTTGCGACCAGTGCTCACACTTGTGACGATCACACATCCCTATTGTCACAAGATCAAACTTAGTTCTTGGCAACCACGTGGAGGTCATGACAGTTGCAGCATTTCACAGAGAGTGTGATCACAATTTGCAATCTTTCAGCCGGCTTCCAGCAAGCAAAGTCAGTGGAGGAAGCTGGATCACTTAAGGACATGTGATTCACTTAACAACTGCAGTGATTCGCTAACCCACCACGGCACCAGCACTGATGATGTTACCCAGTTTGGATCACGAACGTCTACAAAAAAGCAACCAAGTTCAGAGAGCACCAAGGACCCTTCAAAAGCAGTCATACAATTGGGCACAACTCACAACAGCCACCTTGCTTAGCGACACAAATTCTGATCCCAATTGTGGGTCATAAGTCAGGACTACCCATAAGCTTCCCCCTACACCAGTGATGGCTAACCTTTTTGCCATTGGGGCAAAAGTGGGGGGGTGCGGGGGGTGGGTCACTCGTGCCGTGCCACACACCCATAATTCTATGCCCCCCACCACGCATGTGCATGTGACCCCCACCACGCTCCCCCACTTTTGGCATGTGATGGCAGGTAGGCCGTTTTTTCACTCCCCAGGCTCCAGGGCCTTTCTAGGAGGCTGGGGAGGGCGAGAACGCGGCCTCCCCTCCCATAGGCCCTCCAGAGGCCTCTGGAGGAGGAAGAAAACGGCCCGTTTGCCAACTTCCGGTCCCACTGGAAGGCTGTTTTTCACTCTCCCCAGACTCCAGAGCCTTTCTAGGAGGCTGGGGGGGTGAAAAAGGCCTTCCCCACCCTCCCGGAGGCCCTCCAGAGGCCGAAACAGCCTTTTTCCTGACTTCCGGTGGGCCCCAAAGGCCCCAAAATCAGCTGGCGGGGGGCGCACGCATGCACGTCAGAGCTGAGCTGCGTGCCCCCAATATGGCTCCACGTGCCCGTGTGGCACGTGTGCCATAGGTTCGCCATCACGCCCTACACACTGCACAGGAAACTATCCACAGACATTCAGTGGTCTAGAAAAGAATAATCCCTAAATTAAATGATCTTTTTCAAGGGCACTTTTTCAGCTTGCCCTCTTTTCCATTGTAATGGCTTGTTCCAGCCTTTGGTTTTTACTTAAACTAAGATTGCTCTAGCTCCGTGATGGCGAACCAATGGCAGGTGTGCCAGAGGTGGCATGAAGAGCCTCTCTCCTGGCACGGGGACCATCGCCCCAGGTCAGATCTCTGTGGTGTTTCTTTTGTGAGCTTCTGTTTCCCTACAAATGATGAAACAGAAGCTCATGAAAGAAGAAGATCTTGCCTCTTGCGCGCGCCCCAGGGGTGAAATGCTCCCGGTTCAGACCAGATCGCCCGATCCGGTAGCGATGGCAGCGGGTGGTTCGGAGAACCAGTAGCAAAAATCTTTGCGCCCCACCCCCCCATGCCCAGCTGAGCCGCACGATCATCAGAGGCTTTTTTTTAAAGCATTTTTTCTACCACCTCTTCCGACGAAAAAATGCTTTGAAAAGTTAAAAAAAAAAAGTTGGCCACGCCCACCAGTCACATTACCCCCACCACCACCAAGCCCACGCCCACAGAACCGGTAGTAACAAATTTTACATTTCACCCCTGCCGCGCTCCCGGGTGTGTTGGGATGCCAGCCTCCAGCAGCCAGCTGGTCTTCGGGTCTCTGCTGTGCATGCGTGCATGTCCACGTATGCATATGTCCATGCATGCATGCACGCATGTCCGTTAATGCGCGTGTGCATGCACCTTTCAGTTTGGGAACGCACATGCAGTTTGAGCACGTCCGTTGTCTAAAAGGTTTGCCATCACTGCTTTAGCCCAGGGGTCTCCAACTTGGCAACTTTTGACTTGTGGACTTCAACTCCCAGAATTCCTCAGCCAGCACGCGCTGGCTGAGGAATTCTGGGAGTTGAAGTCCACAAGTCATAAAGTTGCCAAGGTTGGAGACCCCTGTTCTAGCCATGAAACATTCACCTACCTTTTCGGAGCAGAGCGTTTGGGTCTGATTCGTAGATGTCCACTGAGCCAGCCAAAAGTCAATCGCAACGATGACGAGTGTTTCATGAGTTTGGAGAAGATCATCAAGGTGAGCAGAAGAAAGCCACCGGAGGTGAGATAGAGCCAACAAGTCTTCCAGGGCATCTTGTCCTGAGTGGCATTGCCGGACATGTTGTCATCTTCTTCCTCTTCCTCCTCTTCCTCTGAAAAGTTACAGAGGTCACTGAGTCAGTTAACCTGGATAATTTAGTATCTCCCACTAGAGAAACATAGGGAGATTCTAGGAAGTGACGGAGATTCAAATAGGGCTCGTGGCCCACAATTGCAATTGCACCACAGGTTCTAGTAACAAAGCACCTATCTTAACAAAATGAAATTCAATGTAGAGAAAAGTAAAGTCTTACATTAGGCAAGAAAAAACAAAAGTACACTATAGACTGGGTGAAACCAGGCTTAATAGCGGTAACTGTGAGAGGGATTTTGGAGTCTTGGTGTTCTGCCCAGCTACGGACCCAAAGAACGCAGCACACACAAAGTCTGTACAAACCTTAGTTTACTAAAATAAAATCAGTGGTTTTTTTTTCAAACAAAAGCTGTTAATTAACTTTCTTAACCGCCTGCAAGAATCCAAAGAATAAATAATCTTAATCTTAATACGGTTGGCAGAAAGCCCAGAAAGCAATTTGCAGAGAACTAAGATCAAGGCACGAAGAAGAGTGAACGAAGTTGTTCCTGCAAATTGCTTCAGTTGGCATTCCTCCTTAAATAGACTAAGGGAGTGGCCAATTATCCCAAGCCTTACTCTCGAGGAGACCTCCTCCTGAGGAGCCACTCCTGCCTTTTGGCAGCTCTGCGCCCGTTGCATCAAGAAGAGGCTCCTCTCTCTTCGTCCTCTTTACTTAAGGGAGCTTCTGGAGGTTCTGAATGCCCTGGCTGAATCCCCACCTCTGGCACCACATCTTCTCTGGCCTCCTCACTGTCTGACTCGAGCGCCAGCTGCACAGGCTGCTGGCGCAGCACCACACCAGCCTCCTCGCTGTCCGAATCAGCCACAGCCGCACAGGCCGCGTACGGGCACAAACACTTAGTGGACAAGCAGCTAAATATGAACCAGCAGAGTGTGGTGGCAGCCAAAAAAGCCAGTGCAATCCTAAACTACATTAACAGAGGGATTAAATCAAGATCAAGTGAGGTGCTAATCAGGGGTGGGTTCTATTTACCTTTACTACCGGTTCGCAACGGAGCGTGTGTGCTCGTTAGTAACAAAGTTACTAACAAAGTGACAAAGTGGCTTCCCCGTTGATTTTGCTTGTCAGAATATTTGCAAAAGGAATCACATGACACCCACCCACCTGGGACGCTGCAACTGTCATAAGTATGAATCCGTTGCCAAGCGCCTGAATTTTGATCAGCTGACCATGGGGGTGCTTCAAGGTTGTAAGTGTGAAACAGTTATAAATCACTTTTTTCAATGCTGTTGTAACTTCAAACAGTCACTGAATGAACTACCTGTATCTTCTTGGCAACAGAATGAAGGTTGTTTTTCACTGGTTTTTTTGTCTTTTGGGACCCCCAGGTAGCCTATAGTGGTCTTTCATTCAAGTACCAATCAGTTCTAATCCTTTTAGCTTTTGAGCCACAATTAGATCAGCAAAATCCTAAGCCTTAAGAACAGAGGGACCTACATTCCACTTTTCTGTCGCCACTATCGTCAAATTTTAGCCTTTTAACTGTTGAAGAAATACAATTTACCGTACTAGAAAGTCATTCGTAGCAGTGGTGGGTTTCTCCCGATTCTGCCCGGTTCTGCCGAGCCGAGCGGTGCGGTGGATATGACGTCACTGAACGGTTCTCTTTGTTCGGGAGCTGGGCCCTCCCCCCCCGTTATTCTTACCTTTTATTTGGCCCGCCCCCAATCAATTCATGCCTCCCAAGTCCCAGTGATCGGCTGGAAGGAAAAAACTGTTTAAACTTTGCCACGGGGAAAAAAGCCTCTGATGATCGTGCGGCTCAGCTGGGCACGGTGGGGGGGGCAGGGATTTTTGCCAGCGGTTCTCCGAACCACCCCCCACCATTACTACTGGATAGGGCAATCCGGTCTGAACCAGGAGTATTTCACCCCTGCTACAGTGGTCTTTCATTCAAGTACCAATCAATTCTAATCCTTTTAGCTTTTGTTTTGAGCCACAATTAGATCAGCAAAATCCTAAGCCTTAAGGACAGAGGGACCTACATTCCACTTTCTTGTGGCCACCTATCGTCAAATTTTAGCCTTTAAGCTGCTGAAGAAATACAACTTACCGTACTAGAAAGTCATTCATAGCAAGTGTGTATGAGACCTAGAAGGCTGAATACCATCACCCGATGTTTATGGCTTAAGTGTATATTTGTACATAAATATCTTTTTTTTAACAAATCAAAATAACGCCAGCATTACCTTCATCCTCATCCTCCAGTTGCGTTTTTGACTCTCTCGGGTACATAGCTCTTCGGAGAGTTTTCCTTTCTAGAGTAGTTTGATCAGCTTCCATATTCTGCATAGGGGCATTAAAAATTCAGTAGAAAGACTTTTAGAATTCACAGTCTCCCAATTTCTAAGCTACTAGGCCAGGGGTCAGCAATCTGCGGCTCCGGAGCCACATGCAGCTCTTTGGGCCCTCTGCTGTGGTTCCCTGTCAGGTGATCCCAGCACTGGCTGGCCCCTCCCCTCCCAGTCACTCCTCGCCTGGCCTGAGAAGGTAAGGGTGACGGTGGGGGATGGAGAAGCGGCCAGGGCAGAGACAGAGAGATACAGAGAGAGGGGAAGAGAGAGAGAGAGAGATAGAGAGATACAGACGGAGAGGGAGAGATGGGGGGAGAGGGAGGGGGGAGAGAGAGATGTCAAAAGGATTTTGTGGTTCCCAGTGTTTTTTAACAACTGGTTCTCTGCCCTAATGACCGGCTGGGTAGGCGTGGCTAGAGGGGGTCATGTGACTGGTAGAAGTGAGTGATGTCGAGTTGGCCACGCCCACCCAGGTTTTGTGGCTCCCGGTGTTTTCTTTTCTGTGGGAAACGGGTCTAAATGGCTCTTTAAGGTTGCAGACCCCGTACTAGGCTAAACTGGCTATATGACAAATACATCTGTAGCACCATTTCAACGTGAAGCGTGGGTTGGTTTATTATCCCTAAAGAATCCTCTGTCATCCTCTCAAATCTTCTCAAAATTGATGGGGAGATCCAACCCAGTGGTGAAATCTGAACCGGTTTACTACCAGTTTGCTGGCTGCTCATGCGCAGTGCGCGGCACGCACCAAATGCGAGGTGCACACTCACAGTTCACACCAAAAGGAGGCATGCGGTAAGTAGAACAGCGTGGGAAGGGGGGTGATTGATTGATTGATTGATTGATTGATTTATTTATTAAATTTATATACTGCCCTACTCCCGAAGGACTCAGGGCAGTGACCATTGAAAAAAATACATTAAATACTTTGGCCCAAACCAAATTTAAAACACCCCAATTTAAAACAAATTTAAAAGCAATTAAAAGGGAGGTTAGGCCAAACCAGCCTGCTGGAATAAGAATGTTTTGAGGGCACGGCGGAAAGTGCGCAAATCCGGGATCCTCTGTATCTCCGAGGGGAGCTCATTCCAGATGGCAAGTGCCCCCACAGAGAAGGCTCTCCCCCTGGGGGCCGCCAGTCGACATTGTTTGACCGACGGCACCCTGAGAAGACCCTCTCTATGGGAGCGTACCGGTTGGTGAGAGGCTACTGGTGGCAGAAGGTACCGATCTCGTAGGTACCGATCAGCTGTGGCGCACAATCTTTTTTTTTTTACTTTTAAAAGCATTGCTTTTAAAAGTTTTTTTTTAAAAAAAGGCCTCTGACGATCACGCTGCTCAGCCGTGATCGTCAGAGGCTCTTTTTAAAAATCTTTTAAAAGCATTTTTTCTACAACCTCTTCGGCCAAAGAGGTTGTAGAAAAAATGCTTTTAAAAGTAAAAAGAAAAGCCTCTGATGATTGCGCGGCTCAGCTGGGGGATGGGCAGGGATTTTTGCTACCAGTTCTCCAAACCACCCAGCGCCATCGCTACCGGATCAGGCAAACCGGTCCAAACCGGGAGCATTTCACCCCTGATCCAACCCCTATTTTGTTTCTATTCCAGACTTTACAACCCTACTATGGGAGGTCTCCCTCTTCTTCTTTAATACCACTTTATAATGCCTTGCTACGTCCACACTTGGAATACTACATCCAATTTTGGTCGCCACAATGTAAAAATGACATTGAGACTCTAGAAAGAGTGCAGAGAAGAGCAACAAAGATGATTAGGGGACTGGAGGCTAAAACATAGGAAGGACAGTTGCTGGAATTGGGTATGTCTAATTTAATGAGAAAAAGGACTAGGGGAGACATGATAGCAGTGTTCCAATATTTGAGGGGCTGCCACAAAGAAGAGGGAGTCAAGCTATTCTCCAAAGCACTTGAACTCAGAACAAGAAGCAATGAATGGAAACTAATCAAGGAGAGAAGCAACCTGGACTTAAGGAAAAACTTCCTGACAGTGAGGACAATTAACCAGTGGAACAACTTGCCATCAGAAGTTGTGGGTGCTTCATCACTGAAGGTTTTCCAGGAGACACTGGACAGTAACTTGTCTGAAATGGTATAGGGCAGCGTTGGTTATGCGGGAGCAGCACATGCACGCTCTGGGAAGATGATCTTCTGGTTTTCGGTGCATGCATGTGCACTGGCCACCTAGTCTTCCGGTTTCTGGCGTGCATGTGCGCACAAACATCAGCTGGCGTTAGTTATCACCTTTAAAGCGCTCCATGGCTTAGGACCTGGGTACCTACGAGACCGTCTTTTGCCACCAATAGCCTCCCACCGACCAGTTCGTTCTCACAGGGAGGGACTACTCAGGGTACCGTCAGTCAAATTATGCCGACTGGCGACTCCCAGGGGGAGGGCCTTCTCTGTGGGGGCTCCAACCCTTTGGAATGAACTGCCCCCGGAGATACGGAATATCCCTGATCTCCGTGCTTTCCGCCGTGCCCTCAAGACCCTGATGTTCCAACAGGCGGGGCTAAACATATGAACATGTGAATGATTTTTTAAAAATGTTATCTAATTCTGGGTTTTATTTAATTGACCAAACTAAGTAATAATTTTAATTAGCAATTTTATGATGTTTGTGTATCTATATTTTTCTTGACTGTACACCGCCTTGAGTCCTACGGGAGAAAGGCGGTATAGAAATATAATAAATAAATAAATAAATAAATAAATAAATAAATAAATAAATAAATAAATAAATAAATAAGTTGTTCCACTGGTTAATTGTCCTCACTGTCAGGAAGTTTTTCCTTAAGTCCAGGTTGCTTCTCTCCTTGATTAGTTTCCATCCATTGCTTCTTGCAGCTACTCTTCCTGTTTCCAGGATTCCCACGTGCGTGAACCTGGAAGAGCGACGGGTGATGGCTGGTGTGCCCAGAGAGATGGCTCTGCGTGCCACTTCCGGCACATGTGCTATGGGTTCGCCATCACAGGTATAGGGTCTCCTGGATTAGAAGACCTCCAAGGTCCTTCCAGCTCTATACTGATTGAGATTGAGTAAAAAGTCTGAAGAAGACGATGTCCAGCCAAGGTAGCAAAGAGATTGTATATATTCTGACAACATAGTGGACAGCTCTTCTATTATACCGGCAATTTACAACTTTAGTGCTCGCATGCATTTCAGCTGACAATGGTGGACTTGAATTTGCTTCTTGGTGTGTGAACACCGCAACCTTCACAGGTCGTCGGAGATTAAAAATGAGATACTTCCAATGAATAAGATTTGGGTAGAAATGTCACTGAATGTCACCATGTATGGATCAAACCAGGCCTTCATTTTCCCGCCCTTCATATTTACCTTTTCCAATTCCTGGTCTTGACGATTCATGAGAGTTTTCCAGTGGTCGTACAGCTCCACGTCTTTAATCTGGATGTCCTTCAGGGTCCCTTCTCGAAGAACAGTGCCGTCTTTCATGGCAATGATCTAAGAATTAAAAAGGAATCAGCTTTTCCAACTAGTGAACCCCAAAAAAAGGAAACACTCTCAGGAACTTTGAATTCCCAAAAGTAAAACTTTAGTGGAGACATCATTTTGGTACTGAAGAATCAAAACCAGCTCTGGTTCTCCCACGCAAAAGCTTACTGAGTTAAACAATACTTTCCCTTTCTCCCCACCCCTGGGTGACCACATTGTCCAATTATGAGACAACCTTTTGTTATGGGAACCGTCCGTCTCTTTCTCAAGCACCTGCAGTGGTGACCTTGATGGTTGCCAGGCTTTCACAGCCCACACACACATTCTCAGCATTCTTTTCCCCCCTTCCCTCCCCCCCAGTTCATTGGCAAGTTGAAAAGAGTTAGGTTTGAAAGAAGCAAAGTGTTTCCATCTTGACACAGGGTTGATTTCCTTTAGGTTTGACCAATTGGATCTCCTTGCAGGAAGCTGATAGAAGAGAACATTTGCAGCCGAGTTACAAATGTTCTCTTCTATCGATGGGTGTCAAACACTTCAGAAAGAAATCATGAAAGCTATTTCATAAATATTGGCCTAATTAGGCTGTTGGCAATCTATCTGTGGGTCAGATTATAAAAACTCTAGTGCAGAGGTGTCAAACTCAATTTCATTGTGGGCCGCATCAGGATTGTGTTTGATCTTGGGGTGGGCAGGGTGGAGAGGGCCAGCTCGTCACTCGTTCGGGGGCGCCTATGGTAGTCCAAGTGCTCTGCCAGTGAAAATGGGCTCCTGAGCTCTGTTTTCTGCCTGCGACAGCTTCCTGCAACCAGGGATGGTATTCACTTACCTTCGCTACTGGTTCGCAAATGTGAGTGTGCATGTATGTGCAGGGCCTCTGGTGCATGCGCAGGGGCCTTCCACACATGTGCAGATAATCAAAAACGGGATGTGATTATGTCCGGTCGAGTGAACGGAGCCTCCCGCCGCTACCAGTTCACCCAAACCAGATAGAACCAGCTGAATATCATCACTGCCTGCAACCCTCTGCCAGTGAAAACGGAGCTCGGGAGGGATGCAGGCCAGTCCTTTGCTGTTTCCAGGTCCAGATCTAAGCACCCCTCGAGATGGATACGGCCCGCGGGCCTTGACTTTGACACCTCTGCTCTAGTGCGATGCATCTAGATCCATCTACCAGTGCTGACCTTGTTGGCCTCACAACTCCCCCATGATGCCAGACTACAGTGATTCTGGGAGATTAAGAGTCTATGCATTAGTGTGTTAAATCAACACCCTTTATTATTATCACATAACAAACCTGAGAGGACACAGCATAGATTAACATCACTTTTCTACCAAGGATGTCTTTTTAACTAGTTGCGTTCTTTTCCAGTTGTCAGTAACAAAAGACTTTCTTTCAGCCATGAAACTTGTCCAGAAGGGATGAATTTGGAGACCCAACCTACATTTCATTCATCCATGACTCCTGCTAGCGTGCCACATCTGTGAGAATCGATTTGTACCCAATTGATGAAGCAAAATGTTGCCCCCGTCCTTAGTCTTCGCATTTTACTTGAAACCCATAGCTCAGTGATAGGGTTAGAGGCATGCAGGAGATACAAGTAGGATTTGAAAAAAACTACTCAAATCCTTTACCCTTGTCTTCATCGCTACAGACATTTTTGTCATATTGCCATTTTAGTCTAGTGGGTTAGAAATTGGGAGAATTCCAGTCCCTCTTTGGCCATGAAAGCCAGGTGGAGGACTTTGGGTCAATCCATCCATCCGTCCATCCTTCCCTCCATCCATCCATCTGTCTATCCGTCCATCCATCCATCCATCCATCCATCCATCCATCCATCCATCCTTGTCTGTCTGTCTGCCTGTCTGTCTTTTTATTTTTATTTTTATTTTTATTTTTATTTTATTTTATTTTTATTTGATTTATATGCCGCCCTTCTCCGGAGACTCAGGGCGGCTTACAATGCGTCCTCAATTTACCTACCTTAGAAAGGATGGAAGGCTGAGTCAACCTTGAGCCTGGGGAGATTCGAACATGCATTAATTGCAGACAGCTGAATGTTAATAACAGGCTTTTAGTCTGTTGAGCTATCCAGGCTCCTGTCTGTCTATCTATTGCTCTGTCGCTCTATCTGTCCATCCATCATCCATCCATCCATCCTTGTGTCTGTCTGTCTGTCTGTCTGTCTGTCTGTCTGTCTATCTATCTATCTATCTATCTATCTATCTATCTATCTATCTATCTATCTCTGTCCGTCCATCCATCCATCCATCCATCCATCCATAATTGTCTGTCTGTCTGTCTGTCTGTCTGTCTGTCTGTCTATCTATCTATCTATCTATCTATTGCTCTGACCGTCCATCCATCCATAATTGTCTGTCTGTCTGTCTGTCTATCTATCTGTCTATTTCTATCTATCTATCTATCTATCTATCTATCTATCTATCTATCTATCTATCTATCATCTATCTATCTATCTATCTATCTATCTATCTATCATCTATCTATCTATCTATCTATCTATCTATCTATCTATCTATCTATCTATCTCTATGTCGCTCTCTGCCCATCCATCTATCCATCCATCCATCCATCTTACCCAGTCAGCATGTGGCAAATACTGTAGTTTATGAGTCACTAAGACGAGTGTCCTTTTGTCATCTTTCAGGAACTTCAGGATACCTTCTTGCATTAAGTGGTCACTGAGGTGAATGTCCAAGGCAGAAAATGGGTCATCCTGGAATTCCATATAGGAAATTAACAAAAGGTTAATGTCACAAATGGTGATCACATAACCCTGGGATGCTGCAACGGTTACAAATACATGCCAGTCACCTAGCACGGAGTTTTGATCACGTGACTATGTGGCTGCTGCATTAGTTGTAAATGTGAGGACCGGTTGTAGGTCACTCTTTGCCATTGTAACTTCAAATTGTCACTAAACAAATGTGTTCTGACCCAGCTCCCCAAACACGACAAACCCTCTGAAGTTAAGTCAAAGATTCCTTTATTAGGAATGCCGGCAGCCCCGGCAAAAAGTTTCGCTCTCAACGTAGTCTAATAAGTCCATCTGGAAGAGGAATACTTGTCTGCCACATCTATTTATCTCCCCTCCCTGCCTTTTATTCCCAGAGCTAGGGTAGGGCTTCGCTAGCAGCGGTGGCTCTTCTGTCCCAAAGGACCAGCCCATAGATTTCCACTGCTCTCCTCTCCTCTGCCTTCTGTGCATCTGCACGTCAGGCACTGGACCCAGCTGTTCCTCCTCTTCCTCATCAGCCACCTCCAGTCCTGGGGGCTGTTGACTCTCCATGTGAGGGCTGACGGATGGCCCAGGCTCTGGCTCTGCCCCTGTCTCTCTCTCTCTGCCAGCTCCATTCCCTCTTCCCCCCTCGGAGCTCTCAGGTTGCCTTGATGCTGACCCTGACTCCCACGCCTGCTCCTCCTCCTCTGATTCGGCTGCTGGAGGGGCCGGCAGCCAACAGGCCACAACAAAATGCTTGTAAATTGAGGATTACCTGCATTCTGCATTCATGCCTGTCTTCAAATCATCCTCCAACTGCTTCCAATGAACAGGCTGAAAAGGTAATCTAGATCGGTGTTTCTCAACCTTGGCAATTTTAAGACCATGGGTGGCTGGGGGATTCTGGGAGTTGAAGTCCACACGTCTTAAAGTTGCCAAGGTTGAGAAACATTGATCTAAAGCATTTTGGATGAAACCTGGATTCTCCTTTCTCCTGGTTTGAAAGTGCCTTCTGCCTCTTTTAAATACTTTTCACTTACCAGGAAGACGAGGTTGGTGTTTTGGTAGAGCGCTCGAGCGACACAGATACGTTGCCGTTGACCTCCACTCAAGTTAATTCCCTAAAGGGTATAATAAACCATAATTTTCAGTCGACTGCCCAAACATTGCAGCATCTTTAACTGACAAGCCCTTGAAAAAATAATTATTTAAAAAAACCATCCTACAACTAAACTTCTTCCTAAATTTATATGACATTGGTTTATTCAATCTCAATGTTGTTGGCTACCAAACTTAAAGTGTGAACAGTCTAAAAGAGGATAAAGAAGATCTTGGCATATTAGCAGGGATTGTTGTTGTTGAGTTGTTGTTTTTTGACTCTTTTTGACCCTTGGACCACAGTCAGCCAGGTTCCCCTGTCCTCCACTGTCTTCCAGACTTTGCCCAAATTCATATCCATTGTTTCGATGATATTATCTAACCATCTCATTCTCTGTTGCCTTCCATCTTTCCCAGTATCAGGGTCTTTTCCAAGGAGTCCTGCTTCTCATTTGGTGCCCAAAATATTTGAGCTTCAGCTTTAGTATCTGTCCTTCCAGTCAGGGTGTCAACAGTCCAACTAGTGAACCCTAAAAAAGGAAACATTCTCAATAGCTTTGAATTCCCAAAAGTAAAACTTTATTGGATACACCATTTTGGTACTGAAGAATCAAAACCAGCTCTGGTTTTCCCATGCAAAGCCTTGCTTAGTTAAACAATACATTCCCTTTCTCCCTACCCCTAGGTGATCACATTGTCCAGTTATGAGATCTCCTTTTGTTATGGAACAGTCCATCTCTTCCTCCAGCACCTGCAGCGATGACCTTGATGGTTGCCAGGCTCTTATAATCCACTCTAATTCTGGAAGTTGAAGTCCACAATCCATAAAAGGACCATAGTTCCCCACCCCTGATCCACAAGGAAGAGGCAATTTTTAATTTGTAACTAAATACATACACTGCCTCAATCTAGTTGGATCCTAGGTCTCAAATGATCTCCTGCAGAGGGACCACATAAAATCAACCTGACATCCACAGGTAGCTTGAACAATAGCAGGGATACACTCCAGGTCTCCCAATAATGCAGGAGTGTCCAAAAAATAGCAATGGCAACTTCCTGCTTAACTTACCCTTTCTCCAATTTCTGTCTGATCTCCAAATGGCAACAGATCAATATCAGGTTGTAGAGAACACGCATCAGTCACGGCTTTGTACCTGTGGAAGAAATATTAGAAACAAAGCATGAGGTCCAGAGAAGACTGAAGGGTTTTAAAACAGGGGTGGGGAACGATGGCCCTTTTATGACTTGTGGACTTCAACTCCCTGTTGTGGCCCGTCAGTGGCCTGTGCAGCTCGTAGCTGATTCCGACAGCGAGGAGGCTGGTGTGGTGCTGTGCCAGCAGCCTGTGCAGCTGGCACTCGAGTCAGACAGTGAGGAGGCTGGAGAAGATGTGGTGCCAGAGGCGGGGATTCAGCCAGGGCCTTCAGAACCTCCAGAAGCTCCTATAAGTGAAGAGGAAGAAGAGGAGGAGCCTCTTCTCGATGCACGGGCGCGCAGAACTGCCAAAAGGCAGAAGTGGCTCCTCAGGAGGAGATGTCCTCGAGAGTAAGACTTGGGACTAATTGGCCACTCCCTTAGCCTATTTAAGAAAGGACGACAACTGAGGCAATTTGCAGGGAACAACTTCGTTCACTCTTCTTCGTGTCCTGATCTTAGTTCTCTTATCATTTTCCTGCAAATTGTTTCTGGGCTTTCTGCCAAACATAGTAAGATTACGATTATTTATTCTTTGGATTCTTGTAGGCTGTTAAGAAAGTTAATTAACAGCCTTTATTTGAAAAAGACTGATTTAATTTAGTAAACTAAGGTTTCTACAGACTTTGTGTGTGCTGCGTTCTTTGGGGTCCGTAGCCGGGGCAGAACACTCCCAGAATTCCTGAGCCAGCCATGTTGGCTGGGGAATTCTGAGAGTTGAAGTCCACCTATCTTCAAGTTGCAAGATTGAGAAACCTTGTTTTAAATGCTCCGTGACCTGCACTGTCTCCCAGTCTGCTTCTGGGTGTTGGGTTTTTGTTTTGTTTTTAATTTGATTTATATGCCGTCCTTCTCCGGAGACTCAGGGCGGCTTACAATGCGTTAAGCTGACTTGTAAAACTACATGACATAGCATCACCTCAGCTGTTAAGTTAGTAACATGGTTGTTAAGTGAATCTGGTTTCCCCCGTTGACTTTGCTTGTCATAAGTTGCAAAAATAGTCACATGACCCCGGGACACTGCAACCATCATAAATATGAATCGGTTACCAAGTACCCAAATTTTGATCACATGACCACGGGGATGCTGCAATGGTCCTAACTGTGAAAAGCGGTCATAAATGGCTTTTTTTCAGCACCGTTGCAACTTTGAATGGTTACTAAATGAATGGTTGTAAGTTGAAGACTTCCTTTAAGTCAGACAAAGAGCTTAACATTTGTACAGGTTCATTTCAATTTGTTTCAACCTGGGTCTTTTTTGGGTGGCTTAATGAAGCCTGAATGTTGAGTTTATGGTTTCATGTATTGTCTCAACCCATGACATGGATGAATTAAGCAATCAGAGCTTGTTGTGTGAGCCAGTATTGAAGTTTGGGATCAGTGGTGGTATTCAGCCGGTTCGGAGCGGTATTCAGCCGGTTCGGAGAGAACTGGTAGTGGCTGCCCACCCACTCCGGTGCTATGCCATCCTATTTAGCCACATTTTCTAAACCGTGTGCATGCGTGCAAGCCGTGTGCGTGAGCAAAGCGCCTGTGTGGAAGGCCGCACACATGCTCACATTTTCGGTGTGCAGCGAACCGGTGGTAAAATTATGTGATATGAGGATTTGGGATATGAGGGTAACGTTCTGGGTGACTTAGGAAAAAGGATTTGTGATTCCCAAATGTTAAAAAACAGTTATATTCCTTCTGATTCTCCCCTCCTCGAAATTAAACATAAACATGGAATAAAAGAAAAGAGGATGGACGGGCAGGCAGCAAAATAATTTTTGTGCAGAAGGAGAGTCTGGGAATCGGAAACCATCTCCTGTGTAGATAGCATTCATGCAGAAGTACTCTAATGAGTCTTTATTTTTAAATGTATGACTTCCCTTCTTTCCAGTTTTTTTTCCCCCTTGGAACTGATATCATAAACTTTAAATTCAGCCTCAGCTCACTTATTATGACTGATAACCCTCATCAGCAGAGGTGGTATTCAACCGGTTCGGACCGGTTCACCCGAACCGGTAGAAGAAATCACGGATGGGCCTGTCCACCCGCCCCAACTCTATGCCATCCTATTTAGGCATGTTTTTGAGGCGGGGTACATGCATGGAAGGCATGTGTGCAAGCAGAGCATATGCGCGGAACGCCGTGCACATGCGCAGAAGTGGTGCATGCGAGTGAAGCGAGCACATGGGTGCGTATGCTCTCATTTGCGAACCGATAGGGAAAGTAAGTGAATACCACCACTGCTCATCAGGAATTAGGATCAGTTGCACTAAGTTTTAAGTCAATAGTACTGGGCTACTTATATTAACCTACTCTTACTGTTTTCCTCTCAGGAACTATGCAGATGTTTTCCCATCCTCCACTTCACTATTTCCTTTTTTGGAAAACACTTTCTAGGATCAGAGAACGCGGTGAGGGGAGGGAAGAGAGTCTTACAAGAGCATTTGACAGAGTCTGCAAACAGGGAAAGGTTATCTTAGCAAATGCATTGCCTCACCACTTCACATTTTACGAGGCAAGGGGGGATGTAGTTTAGAGAAAATTTGCAGGGAAGGATGGGACTTTAAAAGAATGTCTTGGTACTGACTGGCTTGTATGATGATTTGTCATCTTCTGAATCACGGGTGAAATCCAGCAGATCTGACAGGTTCTGGAGAACCGATAGCGGAAATTTTGAGTAATTCGGAGAACCGGTAGCGGAAATTTTGAATAGTTCGGAGAACTGGCAAATGCCACCTCTGGCTGGCCCCAGAGTGGGGTGGGAATGGAGATTATGTAATATCCTTCCCCTGGAGTGGGGTGGGAATGGAGATTTTTCAGTATCCTTCCCCTGCCATGCCCACCAAGCCACACCATGTCCACCAAGCCATGCCCACAGAACCGATAGTAAAAAAAATTGGATTTCACCATTGTTCTGGATGCCCTGGCCTGCATCCAATCTTGTTAAGATGAAAAGAAAAGAAAAATTGAATGAAGGCACCAGGTATTGTCGGTGATTTTATCCCTACAGATTTCATGGCTTCGAGTTGGAAATGGTTGTTGCTACAAATACACTTACGACCACAATTAAGTCCAAAATTTCTCTTGTTCAGCGAGACATTGGTTAAGTGAGTTTTGCCCCGTTTTACGACCTTTCTTTCCTTAACAGTTGTTAAGTGAATCAATGCAGTTGATAAGTTAGCTAACACGCTTGTTAAGTGAATCTGGCTTCCCCTTTGACTTCGTTTGTTCAGAAGGGACACAAAAGGGAAGCGCATGACCCTGGGACACTGCAACCGTCATAAATACGAGTCAGTTGCCCAGCATCTGAATTTTGATCATGTGACTGTGGGGATGGTGCATGTGAAAAACAGTCATAAGTCACATTTTTCAGTGCCGTTGTAACGTTGAATGGTCACTAAATGTTGTTAAATTGAGGACTATCTGTAATCCAGGGGGCCCGATGGCTCAGTGGTTAAAGATGCTGAGCTTCAGTGGTGGGTTCCTCCCGGTTCAGTCCGGTTCGGCCGAGCCGGTAGCGGTGACAATATGACGTCACCGAACCGGTTCTCCCCCCCTGCCCTCCCACCCCCCCGCCCCCCACGTTATTCTTACCTTTTATTTGGTCCCACCCCCAATCTATTGCTGCCTCCTGAGTCCCATCTGATGACTAGAGGGAAAAAAACTGTTTAAACTCTTGCCGGGGGGCTTCAAAGGGCCGTCCTACAGCTGATCAGTGTTAAAAGCAAACAAATGAGTCAGGTCGTAAGTGCAAGGATTGGTCGTAAGTGTAAGGACCTTCCAGAAATGACCCTGACCAGCTAGCCACGCCCACCTAGTCACATGACCGCCAAGCCACACCCACAAAATAGGCCACGCCCACAGAACCGGTAGTAAAAAAATTTAGAACCCACCCCTGCTGAGCTTGTCAGCTGGAGATGCTGACAGCTCCAGTTCAAGACCCCTGAGCTCCGGGCAATGGGGTGAGCTCCATTACTTGCTCCAGCTCCTGCTCTTCTAGCAGTTCAAAAGCATGCAAAAGGCAAGGACCACTTTGGTGAGACGGTAACAGAGCTCCGTGACCCTTTCTGTTTAGCTATGCTGGCCACATGATCATGGAAATTGTCTTCAGACAACACGGGGTCCCTCAGCCAAGAAACAGAGATGAGAGTTGGACATGATTGACAGGGAAATATTTATCTTTACACGTACGGACAGCATCACCACCAGATGGATTCATAACTGGCTGACCAACCGCACTCAATGTGTAGTCCTCAATGGAACTGCATCTACATGGAGGGAAGTATGCAGTGGGGTACCCCAAGGCTCTGTTTTAGGCCCAGTACTCTTCAACATCTTCATCAATGACTTGGACGAGGGGATAGATGGGGGAACTCATCAAATTTGCCAATGACCCCAAGCTGGCAGGAATAGCCAACACTCCAGAAGATAAGGCTTAAGATACAGAAGGATCTTGAAAGACTTGAACATTGGGCCTTATCTAACAAAATGAAATTCAACGGTGAAAAAAGCGAGGTTCTACATTTAGGCAAGAAAAACAAAATGCACAGGTACAGTATATGTGGGACCTTGCTCAATAGTAGTAACTGTGAGAGGGATCTTGGAGTCCTAGTGGATAACCATTTAAATATATGAGCCAGCAGTGTGCAGCAGTTGCCAAAAAAGCCAATTCTAGGCTGCATAAACAGGGGGATAGAATCAAGATCACGTAAAGTGTTAATGCCACTTTATAATGCCTTGGTAAGGCCACATTTGGAATACCGAATTCAGTTTTGGTCGCCACAATGTAAAAAAGATGTGGAGACTCTAGAAAGAGTGCAGAGAGGAGCAACAAAAATGATGAGGGGACTGGAGGCTAAAACACATGAAGAACGGTTGCAGGAACTGGGTATGTCTGGTTTAATGAAAAGAAGGAGCAGGGGAGACATGATAGCAGTGTTCCAATATCTGAGGAGCTGCCACAAAGAAGAGGAAGTCAAGCTATTCTCCAAACCACCTGAGGGGAGAACAAGAAGCAATGGGTGGAAACTAATCAAGGAAAGAAGCAACTTAGAATTAAGGAGAAATTTCCTGACAGTTAGAACAATTCATCAGCGGAACAACTTGCCTCCAGAAGTTGTGAAAATAAAGAAGAGGAAATGGTAAAAGAGCAGCCCCAGAACAAATAAAAATGAAAGTTAAAGGATAAGATGAATGATCAATGGTTAATGATGGATAAGAGACTGTACACTTAAATATGTTTATGAGAAATAAAAATAAAAAAAATTATGCAAAAGTTGTGAATGCTCCAATGGAAGATTTTAAAAAGAAGTTGGATAGCTATTTGTCTGAAGTGGTGTAGGGCTTCCTGCCTAAGCGGGGGGGGGGGGGGGTGGGGGAGAGAGGGGAAAAGAAGAATAAAAATGAATGAAAAAAAGAAAGAATGTGTAAGAATGAATGAAAGAATGAATAAATAAATAAATTTCTATACCACCCTTAATAAATAAATTTCTATACCGCCCTTCTCCCGAAGGACTCAGGGCGGTGTACAGCCTATTAAAAGCACAAAGACAGACATCAATTAAAAATAATTAAAATTATTAAATAATTTCGGCTCAGATTTAAAACCCAAAAAATTAAAACACCCAATTTAAAATCATTACATTGATAGCCCGCCTGGCGGAACATCAGGGCTTTGAGGGCACAGCGAAATACACGGAGGTCGGAAATCTTACGCATTTTCAGGGGCAGTTCAGTTCAGAAGACCTCCAAGGTCCCTTCCAACTCTGTTATTCTAAATTCTAAGATAAGTCGTCCTTGCTTAACGACCCTAATTGGACTGGAGTTTCCATTCTTAAACAAGGCAGCTGTTAAGCAAAACATCGTGTGACTGCACCAGTTAGCAATGGCAAGTCCCAGCTGAATCTAGAAAAAGTTCAGGAATTCTATCACTGTTGGTAGTTAGAAAGAGACCGATGTAAAATCTTTACCTCTGTTTATTAAAAGAACTCCCAAAGGTGATGTTTTCTTCCACCGTCGCATTCAAGAGCCAGGGCTTCTGAGCTGCGTAAGCCACTGAAAACCGATTCCTAGTGGAAAGGGGGAATTTAGATGCATTAGACTTGAGGCAGGGAGAAGCTCCCTATAGATTTTAAACAAGGGTGCACTCAAACGAGGAAGGCACAAAAAACACATAAAGGAAATTAGCGGTTAAAACCAGGTTTAAGGGGAAAGAAGAAGAGTTAGGTTAGAAGAACACCCATCTCTATTTTATCTTTCCTTTTTTTCATGACATATTCCTTGCTGAAAAGGTGTATTCATATCCAGCAAATTTACATTTATCTCTAAGTCAGAAGAGTTGGCATGCAAAGGGGAGACAGGTTCGTCCCAAAGGTGTTTTTCCAAAAAGGCAACTGGACTTCCTTGGGGTTTTTTCTCCCTTGAAAACATTTTGCTTTGCATCTAAGAAGCTTCTTCAGTTCTGAAACAAATCTCATATATATATTTATTTTGTTCTTTTATTCATAGGATTATATGTGTAATACTTTGCTAGTCAGTGTTTTTCCTACATAAATCAAGATGTTTGTATTGCCATAGTTGGGTGATATCTCAAATCACCACTTTCAGGCTTTATCAGAAATTTTGTGTTGTCTGCTGAGAGACTTAAGGGAGACTGGGATAGATCTATTTCGGCCTTATAAGGCCTCTTCAGCCAGCCACACCCTTATTTTATGACTCCTCCCTGTAAAGGTCAAATATTTATTTTGTTCTTTTATTCGTAGGATTATATGTGCAATACTTTTCTAGTCAGGGTTTTTCCTACGTAAATCAATTTTTACGTAATGATTTACGTAGGAAAAACCCTGACTAGAAAAGTATTACATATATATATATTATATATATATATATATATATATATATATATATATGCAGCGGAAATGGGAAACGATGATGGCGATCTTACAAACATATATTTGTTGGTGTCCAGTTCAAGTTTTAATTACTTTTTACATTTTTAAAACACTGATAAATTACCCTGCAGCTTTTATTGGCAGGCCTTCCAAGAGATATGGGTGCCGTGATATACGAAATATTGAATGAATGAATGAATGAATGAATGAATGAATGAATGAATGAATGAATAAATAAATAAATAAATAAATAAATAAATAAATAAATAAATAAATAAATAAATAAATAAATTTCTATACCGCCCTTCTCCCGAAGGACTCAGGGCGGTGTACAGCCTATTAAAAGCACAAAGACAGACATCAATTAAAAATAATTAAAATTATTAAATAATTTCGGCTCAGATTTAAAACCCCAAAAATTTAAAACACCCAATTTAAAATCATTACATTGATAGCCCGGCCTGGCGGAACATCAGGGCTTTGAGGGCACAGCGAAATACACGGAGGTCGGAAATCTTACGCATTTTCAGGGGCAGTTCAGTTCAGAAGACCTCCAAGGTCCCTTCCAACTCTGTTATTCTAAATTCTAAGATAAGTCGTCCTTGCTTAACGACCCTAATTGGACTGGAGTTTCCATTCTTAAACAAGGCAGCTGTTAAGCAAAACATCGTGTGACTGCACCAGTTAGCAATGGCAAGTCCCAGCTGAATCTAGAAAAAGTTCAGGAATTCTATCACTGTTGGTAGTTAGAAAGAGACCGATGTAAAATCTTTACCTCTGTTTATTAAAAGAACTCCCAAAGGTGATGTTTTCTTCCACCGTCGCATTCAAGAGCCAGGGCTTCTGAGCTGCGTAAGCCACTGAAAACCGATTCCTAGTGGAAAGGGGGAATTTAGATGCATTAGACTTGAGGCAGGGAGAAGCTCCCTATAGATTTTAAACAAGGGTGCACTCAAACGAGGAAGGCACAAAAAACACATAAAGGAAATTAGCGGTTAAAACCAGGTTTAAGGGGAAAGAAGAAGAGTTAGGTTAGAAGAACACCCAGTCTCTATTTTATCTTTCCTTTTTTTCATGACATATTCCTTGCTGAAAAGGTGTATTCATATCCAGTGAATTTACATTTATCTCTAAGTCAAAAGAGTCGGCATGCAAAGGGGAGACAGGTTCGTCCCAAAGGTATTTTTCCAAAAAGGCAATTGGACTTCCTTGGGGGTTTTTTCTCCCTTGAAAACATTTTGCTTTGCATCTTGGAAATGGGGAACGATGATGGCGATCTTACAAACATATATTTGTTGGTGTCCAGTTCAAGTTTAATTAACTTTTTACATTTTTAAAACACTGATAAATTACCCTGCAGCTTTTATTGGCAGGCCTTCCAAGAGATATGGGTGCCGTGATATACGAAATATTGGTTAGAAGCAGAAGTGGGTTTCAGCAGGTTCTGACCAGTTCTGGAGAACCGGTAGCGGAAATTTTGAGTAGTTCGGAGAACCCGTAGTAAAAATTCTGACTGGCCCCACCCCCATCTATTCTCTGCCTCCCAAGTCCCAGTTGATCAGGAGGGAATGGAGATTTTACAGCATCCTTCCCCTGGAGTGGGGTGGGAATGGCGATTTTACAGTATTAATTCCCCTGCCACGCCCACCAAGCCACACCCACCAAGCCACACCCACAGAACCGGTAGTAAAAAAATTTGAAACCCACCACTGGTTAGAAGCAATTTATGTAGTCTCAGAATGAGCCCATATGTAAGGAGTTTTGAAGGCATACATTGTTAATTTCCTTTAAATTAATTTGGGATATCTGATCCACACAGTGGTTCCCAGCAGCTGCCTGATTTGAGAGATGAGCTGAAATGAAATCTCATGTTTGTTGAGTCCCTATGTCCATTTTGGAAAAACCACGAATATTTGACTTGACTCTATATCTACCAAGGACGTTGAAGGGTGGCATTTCAGTTTAGATCACGTAGACATCCAGATTGGGATTGAAATGTCAAAATGTTGCTTTTTTCATCAAAATATGAAGGGCTGAAGTTCAAATTCTAGGCCAGTGATGGCTAACCTTTTTGTCATCGTGTGCCAAAAGTGGGGGGAGCGTGGGGGGGGTCACCCATGCACGTGCCCACACCCATAATTCTATGCACTCCGCCCCCCTCTGCATGCATGTGTGATCCACCCGCACTCTCCCCGCTTTTGGCACATGATGGCACAGTGGGCCCGGTAGGCCTCTTTTTTTTATTTATTTATTTATTTATTTATTTATTTATTTATTTATTTAATTAATTAATTCAATTTATACGCACAGTCACTCATGCCCTCGTTACCTCTCAGCTGGACTATTGCAATGCTCTCTACATGGGGCTCCCCTTGAGGTGCACTCAGAGGCTCCAACTGGCGCAGATGGTGGTTATGGGAGCAACGTGGAGTTCCCATGTAACACCTCTCCTGCGCGAGCTGCACTGGCTCCCGGTGGTCTTCCGGGTGCGCTTCAAGGTTCTGGTTATCACCTTTAAAGCGCTCCATGGCTTAGGACCTGGTTATTTACGGGACCGCCTGCTACCACCAATAGCCTCCCACCGGCCACTACGCTCCCATAGAGAGGGGCTCCTCCGGGTGCCGTCGGCCAAACAATGTCGACTGGCGGCCCCCAGGGGGAGAGCCTTCTCTGGGGGGCACCTACGATCTGGAACGAGCTCCCCCCCGGAGATACGGAGGATCCCGGATCTGCGCACCTTCTGCCGCGCGCTTAAGACTCTTCTATTTCATCAAGCCGGCCTGGCCTAAATCTTCCCCCTTTTAAATGTGGAAATTTTAAATTTGTTTTAATTATAGGGTTATGGGTAAGGCGTTTTAAATTGGGGAGCCATTTTGGATTTAATTTTCTTTTAAATGTATTTTAATGTTTATATTATATGTTTTTTAATCTTGGCTGTTCACCGCCCCGAGTCCTTCGGGAGAGGGGGCGGTATAAAAATTTAATAAATAAATAAATAAAATTTATATCCCGCCCTTCTCCAAGTGGACTCAGGGCGGTGCACAGCCAGAACTAAAACACATATCAATACAAAATTTAAAATTATTAAAAGAATTAAATAACTGTGGCCCAAAAAATTTAAAACATTGAAAACTAAAACCCCTTTGACAATTTAAAAAGCTAAAAAACTAAAAAAAAAAAAAGGGGGGGGGGGTGGGTTTCACGCCAGTCCTGCTTGATGGAAAAGAAAAGTTTTTAGGGCACGGCGAAAAACCTGGAGATCCGATATCCTTCGTATCTCCGGGGGCAAATCGTTCCAGAGGGCAGGAGCTGCCACAGAGAAGGCCCTCCCCCTGGGGGTCGCCAGCCGACATTGCCTGGCTGACGGCACCCTGAGGAGTCCCTCTCTGTGGGAGCGTACTGGTTGGTGGGAGGCTATCGGTGGCAGAAGGCGGTCCTAGAGGCTTTCTAGGAGCCTGGGGAGGGCGAAAACGGCCTTCCCCACTGCCCCCCGGAGGCCCTCCAGGGGCCGGAAACAGCCTGTTTCCTGACTTCTGGTCGGCCCGAAAGGCCTGAAAATCAGCTGGCCGGAGTGCACATGTGCGCTGGAGCTGAGCTCGCGTGCCCACTGATATGGCTCCGTGTGCCACCTGTGGCACGCGTGCCATAGATTCGCCATCACAGTTCTAGGCATTACAATTTAAGAAAAGAATCCAGAATATTGCAATTGTGGGGCATAATAGGAATTCGTTTCAGCTCTGCTCATAGTTTTACGTTTCATTCTCCACCCTGTTTCCCTAAGAAAGAACATTGGAAAAAATTGGTCTGAATCTGGCTATCGCATATGACTTTGCTTCTCAGAAGGTCACCAAAGGGTATCACATGACCCCGGGACACTGCCACCGTCATAACTTTGAACGGTCACTAAGTGAATGTTGTAAGTCAAGGACTACCTGTATTCCCTGCCTTCAGCCTTCTGATTTTCTTTAACACAATAGCAATAGCACTTAGACTTATATGCCGCTTTACAGCCCACTCTAAGCGGTTTACAGAGTCAGCCTATTGCCCCCAACAATCTGGGTCCTTATTTTACCCACCTCGGAAGGATGGAAGGCTGAGTCAACCTTGAGCCTGGTGAAATTCGAACTGCCCAATTGCAGGCAGCCGGCAGCCAGCAGAAGTAGCCTGCAGTACTACATTCTAACCACTGCGCCACCACAGCCCTTCCTTCCTTCCTTCCTTCCTTCCTTCCTTCCTTCCTTCCTTCCTTCCTTCCTCTCTTTTTTCCCCTGCAGTTTTCATATTGTGTGACAGTTGGGAGGGTCAGACTACCGGTTCTGTGGGCGTGGTTTGATGGCTTGGTGGGCATGGCTTGGTGGGCGTGGCAGGAGAAGGATACTGCAAAATCTCCATTCCCATCCCACTCTAGTGGAAGGATACTGCAAAATCGCCATTCTCACCCCAGTCCAGGGGG